GAAAAAGAGGAACAAGGCTGAAAAGGCTGCCCGGCGAGCCAAAGTGAAGGCGGAGAGGGAACAAGCTGCAGCTGCAGGCGAACAGCAGGGTCAAGCCGCGCAGGCTGCGAAGAAAGGACAGGCTGGAGGAGGGAAAGATGCTGCTGGGGCCGCCCAGAAGGGGCAGAAGAATGCTGCAGTGCCTCGCCGGGGATCTGCCCAGGCTGGCTCTGCGGCCACGGAGAAAAAGGAGGACAAGAATGTTGCGGTCTTTGGACATCTCTACGGGCATCCCAGACGGACGACCATTGCGGGCGCAGCGAAGGAGGTTCATCCGGCAGTTCTGGCGCTGGGTTTGCAGATACGAGACTATGTTGTTTGTGGCAGCAGTGCGCGATGTGTCGCCACGCTGCTGGCTTTCAAGCGGGTGAGTTGGATAGCTGTCACTTTGCCAGAAAAAAGCTGTTTTTCCTGCTAATACTCCGTTGGCAGGTCATTGAATCTTACACGACCCCCCTGGGTACTTCCTTGGCTCGTCACTTGACCACCCACCTGTCCCATCAAATCAGCTATCTGTCGACCTGCCGTCCGCTGTCGATTAGCCAGGGAAACGCTATCCGCGCGCTCAAATTGTCCATCTCTTCCATTGACCCGTCCGTTCCTGAGGCAACTGCCAAGGCCTCTCTCTGCGACTTCATCGACAGCTTCATCCGTGAAAAGATCACAGTCGCCGACCAGGTGATTGCCAACAGTGCTGCACAAAAAATCAACGACGGCGACGTCATCGTCACCTTTGCAGCAAGTTCCATCGTGAAACAGACCCTGCTCACGGCCCACAAACAGGGCAAGAAGTTCCGTGTGTCCATTATCGACTCGCGTCCGTTGTTTGAAGGAAAGAACCTGGCGCGGTCCCTGGCCAATGCCGGCCTGGAGGTGCAGTATTCGCTGATCCACGGCATCAGCCACGCCATTAAGGATGCCACCAAGGTCTTCCTGGGAGCCCACGCCATGATGGGCAACGGGAGGCTGTATTCGCGTGTCGGCACGGCGTTGGTCGCGATGTCGGCCAAGGAGCGGTCTGGCGGGGTCGAGATCCCGGTGATCGTGTGCTGTGAGACGGTCAAGTTCACCGATCGCGTCGCCCTCGACAGCATCGTTGTCAACGAGATCGCAGACGCAGACGAGCTGGTCACGACGCAGCCACGGCAGCAAGTGACGGGCGTTCCGGACCCGGGGGCCCTTCGAATGAGCCCAGCAATAAGAAGGCCAACACCAATAATGTCACCGACGCGATTGCTAGCCTGAGTCTGAGTCAAAACACGTCTTCGCCGCTCAAGAACTGGAGGGACGTACCGAATCTGCAGCTGCTGAATATCATGTACGACGTTACCCCGGCCGAATATGTGGACATGGTGGTCACGGAGATGGGCAGCTTGCCTCCTAGCGCAGTCCCTGTGGTGCATCGCATGAGCACCAATTCATGAGGTGATCATCACTATTTGCTCAGGCATTGTGTTATCTAATACCAGACGAACTCTGGTATGCCTCTATAGACTCTCAAGTCTAGACCAAGGGGATTGTCCTGTATTAATTACTGGTATGCGCAAAAGGGCGGCCGAAGTGGGTTTTAGAAAGCTGGGCTTTCCAACGAAAAAAAAAAAGTTCGATTGTCTTAGTCTTACTTTTTGATTCGCAATCCGTCCAGCATGCCCAGGGACGTGGATCTTCTATCTACACATTGCTATGCTATAGATGGGGTGTTCGTTTTAGAGGCTTCTATCGTCAGGCCAGGAGTTTCAGAAGAGGGAAGGGAAAGGCTGCAAAGCTAGGCGTGCATCGTTCGATGTATGATACCAGAAGAAGCGGCCTGGGGAGATCGAGAGATGGTCATCATCATTGTGTACTGTACCATTCTCGGTAGAAGTAATAATTTCACAGAATCAAAAGTTTTGTCAATGGTCGCGATAGTAATAGTCACATAGCCATCATATACGTCGTATAGAGCTGCAATCCAAAAAACAGAAGGCGGTGATAATTTGTAAGCAATATCGCCCCGCAGAAGGCGGAGAAGAGCGGCAGAATTAGGGATGTTTTGACTGGAGCTTCAACAATGACCACCTGTAATTGTTGATGTGAACAGGCATTGAAATTGCCAGAGCCTCGCTCTGTCGTCATTCATATTCATCGCGTGGTGAAGCTTGATGTGACATGTCTGAAACTTGCTTCTTGCTGTTTGCTGCCCATTGCCAGTGATCAGTCGTATCAATCAGATCGACTCGACGAGGACGTACTACCTGCATGATCTTCCTCAGAATTTTAGATAGCTGAGTCCATACAACCAAGTGATCATTGCTTTGGTTTTCCTGCAGCATATAACATGGTATGTACCGTCTTGTCTCAAACCCAAACTTTAAAGTCACTCCATTGATCCTGTGTTGTCCGTCCAGTCCAAAGACTCCTCCCCAACCTACATCCACATGCACCACCCCCGACTGGCAGACTACTTCGAGGACTTCACGCGGCCGCACTCATCGCTGTACTCCAACCTCGCGGCGGCAGCCGCCCAGCAGCCACAGCACCACCACCCCCCACCGCAACAACACAACGGAAGCGGCTCCGCGACAGCAGCAGCAGTGACATACGGCTCCGCCGCCTCCCCCGCGACCATGGTCCCCTCTTTTCTCCCCATAGAGGACATCTACGTCCCGCCGCAGTACCAGCCTCTCAACCCGGAAGACGAGGACGATATCGTGCCCGACCAGCACGCCGCGTTCGGCATCACGCGCGCCATGGACGCCGCCACCGCGACTCGCAGGGAGCCCGTATGGAGGGATTTTGGCCTTCACGAGCTCGTCCGCGGTGCGCGTGTCGGTGGTGGCTCCACTCACGGTCCTCATGGCGGCGGTGCTCTGCATGGCCATGGCCTTACCGCGGGGTTTCTGCCTGCTGCTGCCTTGTCTGGCTCGTCGGCTGTTGCGGCGGGTTGGCGGTTGAAACAAGCGGGGGCGTTGATGGGTGGGAGGAGGACGAGATGTTTGCGGTAGTCTCGTCTCGAGTGGATAGTATGCTGATATATACATGGTGAAAGGGTGGTGAGTCAATTAATGAATAAGTCCATGGCATGGATTGCATGATCTGGAGTTTGGGAGTTAGGCGGTATTATCCATATGACTTTGCTTCTTCCCTCGACTGGTTTTTACGGGTTGGTTTCTTGGTCATTGTTTGTCATAGTTGGTCATGGGCGCTGGCGTTGGCGGGAAATTCTTTTTAAAAAAAAATCTCCAGGGTATTTTTTTTCTGGTTGGTCTGTTTACTCGTGTAGTTTGTCCGTGCTTTTAAGGTGGACTATTACGTAGATACCTAGCTTAGCTACCTAGCTCAAACCAATAATAAAATGAATGAATATAGTGAATGAATGAATATTCATTCCCATTTCATGGAATCGTTTCCAGATACTGCCTATACTATACCATAGTATATCGCTAATTCCATCAATCCATCCATCCAACAAACAAACAAACAAACGCCGTCTTTGCATATACATCCCTACAACAAGAAACATCCATGGATAAAAAAAAGCATTACCAATAAGGGAAGACAAATAGAGAACACCTTGTCCTGCGTAATTGCTTGCTGCATAATTGCTTGCTGCTGATGGTTTATATCCTCACAACATCCACGCGCGCCCGCTCATAGATCTTATGGCTTAGCTGCTTCTCCTGGCGCTCTTCGGCCGTCATTGTCCGCGGGTGGATCGCCATCTGCGCGTAGGTGCCTGCGGCGCGGCGCTTGGAGAGCGTGCCAGGGTTGATGACGAGGACGCTTTCGACGACCTGGTCGCAAACACAACACGAGTTAGTTTTGTTCAGTTGGCACTGGGGAAGGGGTTTTTCTTACCTTTACGAATGGCGGCAGCATGCTCGGCGTGATCAGCACGTCGGGTCGTACGTTCCACCATTCGCCTAGCTTCAGGTAGCTCACGTCTAGCATGGCGCCTAGCGGCATGACGCTGTCTGCTCCGCTGGCCCTGGGCAAGCTCTCGCGCGAGGATGGGGGGAAGATGGGGTAGAAATGTCGCTGCTCGATGATGTACTTGGGGAGCCTCGTCAGCAGGTTGCCTTCTGCGGGTCGCCCGCCCAGCGCCTCTTCCTTTCTCAGCTCGTACAACACGTCGTGCGACAACATCCCGATCACGGTCTCGTTCAGAGACAGGGTCACCGGGTTCGACACCATGCGCGCCTGCTTCGGTAACCCGAGCTCTTTCCGCGGCAGCTGCTCCTGCGGCCACGAGACATGCTTGCTCACGGCGTCTCGCACCGATGGGACGAGCACGATCGTAATGCTGGGTACGGCGGCGCACAGCCGCTGAAGCGGTGCCGCGATGCAGTGACGGAACAGCGTCGTCAGGTTGGCAGTGTCCGGGTCGATCCCCGGCACATCAGGCAAGTCAAAGTCGCCCGATGCGATGAGCGGATGCTCCATGTCCACAAATGGCCCCATTAAGATCAGAGCATCTGCATACTCGTCCGCAGCCTTCTTACACAGCTCGTTCAACGGCTCGAATTCCAGATTGTCGTCCGCCGTATACGGCCCAGACGCGATGAAGATGTTCAATGGCTGCTGGTCGGATCCTAACCTCTCATTGATCGTGTCGATCGTAGCTGGTGAGGACGCCGCTGGTGGGAGGAGTGGCACTGGAAGGACCTCCTTGACGGAGAAGTACTGTCCCGACGCATTGATCCCTCGAAGGGCGACAATCTGGCCGGGGAAGAATTGGACAGAGGGCAACGAATCCACCTTGAGAGGCACCCTCAAGCCTGCGCCCGTTCGACGTGACGTCTCAAGGACCAGAGATGCCGTGTTCAATTTCCCCTCCAAGCTGTCTGACGCGATGCGGCCCACGGCCACAATCTCACTGGTGCTCTGTGTTGCAGCGCTTCCAAAAGTCACCTCTGACCCGTAGTGTTTCTGAAATACGGCGGTGAATTCATCTATCCGGTCGTCCAGCACCTCCGACGCCTCTGAGAGTCGCATCGCCATCGGCTTATACCCTAACTTCTTCAGATCCGTGTTGGCGGTTGGTCGAATTCGTGCTTCGGCATACGGAGCCATCGGCGCTGTAGGCATGGCCAGGTGGCCATTGAGGGTCTCCAAGACTTGGCCAGGGTTTTGACGTTCCGAAAAAGGCACGGGTCTGGTCGTAGATCGCAGTTAGTTGCGTATACAGCGAGGTCCCTACTGCCAGGTATCACTTACTGTGGTCCGTCAACCGCTCCATTCGCCTTGAGAGGTGTCTTGAAGTCTCCAGGAGTGCCGCTCTTCTCCGGCCTCCCGACCTTGGGTGCCGACGGTGTTTCGAATGTCGATTTGCGTTTTGCGGAGCCATTGACGCTCTTATTCGCAGACCGGGAATGAGACGTATTCGGCGTCAACTCATCCAACCTGAGACATTGTCAGAATCACCGCGACAGCAACAGAATCCTGTATCTGCCCGTACATCCCAAAAACATCTGTATTCATCGCGCGCGGCGTCGCTGTAACCCCGCCCTTCTTCTCCGTGCTGCGCAGGTGGCTGTTCTTCCCCCTGCTCTCTCGCTCCAGAGACTCCTGCACATCCCGCTTGAATGCCCGAACCGTGTCCAAATTCAACTTGGTCTCGTCAGACCCCATCTTCAGACTGTAGGACTCCCATTTGTAGAAGAGCTCCTGCGGCGAGATGGCGTGCAGACGGAGGATGGACTGCAGCTCCGCGAGCACATCTTGCGGCAGGCCGTCGGGGGCGGACGACGCAAAGAGCTCATTGAGCTCGTGGACGACGTCTTCCATCGTGATGAGTCTGGTAAGCACGGCGTCGTGGTGGTCGAGCAGCGAGGTGATGGGCAGTGTGTTGCGGGGATCAATAATAATAATGCCGGATTAGATGTCGCTACTGACGCGTCTGCCACGCGTGCGGCGGCGCCAGGGACAGCTGGTTAATCGACTAATCAGTGCTCGCTTATCGCTGGGTAAGGCTGAGGCCAATGACGGCACCAAATCCTTCGGGTCCCGCTGCGGGAACGCTCCGGCAGGCCGGCTCAGGCCACAAATCCATCACCCCAAGATCCGGAAGCATGCCCTATCCGATTCCTAGTCGGGGCTGAAGAGCGCCCTATATAGCATAGCGTCCAAGCTCCTCGATGACCATGTGTCCATCTCTTTCATCGTTGCTGCCGGGCACCTAGCAGTCATGGCTACGACCCAGGAGACTCCTGCCCCCGCGGAGAGCCCATATCTACAGGAAGCGCAAGCAGCTGCCGACGAGCTGGGCCTGCCCTTGTCCGCTGCAGACGGTGTCATCAAGAAACCGTTTGCCCGGCCGCTGGATACGGCCAAGCCGCTGCCACCCCCGAAACTGACCTCCGACCAGGCTTCCAAATATGACCAGGTGCTGAAGGCCGTCTCGTCCTGGACGACCATCCCCTCCAGCTCCGCGAAGGATGCGCCAGAGACGCCGCTCACCGACGACGAACGCATGTTCCTGACCCGCGAATGCCTGCTTCGATACCTTCGCGCGACCAAGTGGAACGTCCCGGAGGCTGTGAGCCGGATCCGCAGCACGTTGATCTGGCGTCGCGAATACATCGGGGACAAGTTGACGCCCGAGTACATCTCAATTGAGAACGAGACGGGGAAGCAGGTGATTTTGGGCTTCGACGTCAATGGGCGCCCGTGTCACTACCTCCTCCCGTCGAGACAGAACACTGAACGAAGCGACCGCCAGATCGAGCACCTGGTGTACATGCTGGAGCGGGTGATCGATCTGATGCCGCCCGGCCAGGAGAGTCTGGCCTTGGTGGTGAATTTCAATGAGACCAAGTCTGGCCAGAATTCCTCTATTGCCCAGGCTAAGCAGACGCTGCACTTTCTCCAGAACCACTACCCCGAGCGATTGGGACGAGCGCTGGTGATCAATGGTGAGTTTTCCCGGGAAATAGAGAATGCTTATAAGCTATGCCCCCCGCAGTGCGACATATAGTTAACTGAGAACAACAGTCCCGTTCGTCATCTGGGGTTTCTTCAAGATCATCAGCCCGTTTATCGACCCCGTCACTCGGCAGAAGCTCAAGTTCAACGAGGATCTGTGTCAACACGTGCCACCCACACAACTCATGAAGGGGACTGGCGGAGACGTCGAGTTCGAGTACGACCATTCAGTATACTGGCCTGCGCTGAACAAACTCGCCGAGCAGCGGAGGAAGGCATACCGTGAGCGTTGGATCAAGGCTGGAAAGCGCATTGGCGAACATGAAGACTACCTGAAGGGTGGCGCGGCGCCGAGCCTGGCCGCTACGGAGGGCAAGTCTGCAGACGAGCTGGGGGAGAAGACGGATACCTTGAAGGTTGAGGCGCCGACAAATGAGCAGGCCCAGAGTAACGCCGCTTAATGAATACTGCGGCTGTATATTTTTCTTTTTTCTCTCGATTTATTCTTCTGCGGGTTCATTTTTATTTAGAACAGATTTCCTAGATTTCTTGGGGTTTTTTTTTTCGTGAATAAGAGCTCGGGTTCCTAACTTCCAAGCTTTGTTGATAACAGGAGTAACTGTATTATTGATCTGGCTTGAAAGGCATATGGCGATTAGACTAGCGATAGATTTATCATCGACTGAGTCGCCACTTATGGCTACATAATAGCACACAAAATTGAAGCAATTGGTAATTGATTCCTTTGCTTGTCGTTTTTCTGCTCTTCCGGTCTCACAGCCGTGATTGTATAGCCGTCACATCACGTGTGGGGCTAGCTGAAGATCGGCGGGGAGAGGGAAAGAGGTCAAAAAATTCGACAAGCAACAGGCTGTGCTGATTTGGATGTCAGTTGGAGTCGAGTTGAATTCAGCCAACCCAGCCAGGTTCTCTGCAGGTTGTCTATTGTTCTCAGGACCTGCTGAAGCCGAAGTGTACGAAGTAGATGACTGTCATTTACTCGAGGTGGCACAGCCCACCTCCTTTTGCTCAGCAGATTCTGCTCAGCAGACCTGTAGTGAAGTACACTGCCGAAACAGCGGCATCTTTGGCACTGCCTGGTACCGTATCTTATCTATCAGAGGCTCTCGTGTCTGCTGTCGTGAGGCGTCTCGACCACTGCTCGCGAAGAATTTCTTCAGTGCCGCATCGCATTTGCTGTTCCTGAAGCGCATCCTGTGCTGCATACCGGGGACTGCAGCAGCGGAAATGAGAACTCTTAAGGCAGCGGGCGGTGGGCATCCAATCCACGGCTCCGGCCCAGCCGCAAGCGTCTCTCTCTACCTTCACCCCCCGCGTCCGAGTCCGAGACTAGTAGAGCTGCCAGCGCCAGTGCCGCCCCTCTTCATGCGGCTCCCATCATCGGCGTGGGCTTGTTCCATCCTCGCAACCCGACCATGGCGGACGAAGAGTCTGTGAACTGTCGACCACACACCCCCACGGACGGAGCCAGCGCTGCTGCTGCCCCGGACGGCACCGCCCTGGACCACCACCACGACGACGACAAAGACAACGCCCCCGTCGGCCGCAGCAACAGCAGCAGCAGCAGCAGCGGTGGGAAGGTTTCCAACCGCTCCCGCGCTGCTGGTGTCGTCGCCCCAGCTGGTCACGAGGGGGGTTTTGTGCAGCCGGCCTCTTACCTGCGGCCCCGAGGCCTTTCTCATCCAATGACGCCTGTGCAGCCCGAGAGGGCGATTGACAGGGACGAGCGATTGGGCTTGGTAAGTTGCGTTATGTGATCTTTTTTTTGGTCTACCCAGCGTTTGCGTGCTCGCTCTCGTTTGCTGTTGGCGCTTCTGAAAGCCCCTTCGCGGGGTTCTCTGGCGGGGTTTGCGCAACACGTGTGAATTGCCGTCTACATCCATTCGACAATGGGGCATTGCTTATGATCGTTATGATCGGCCATGAGAAAAGCATCCAAAAGGAGACATTGACTGACGGTTTTCTGCTCCTCCTGCTTCGCAGCGAGCAATTCGCAATTTCCTCAAAGTTCGAACGAGTTACGATGTCCTCCCGCTCAGCTTCCGCTTGATCATGTTCGATACCTCGCTCTCCGTCAAAGAGAGCTTAAATATCCTCATCCAGAATGGCAAGTCCTGTCTATCCAACGCGATACACGAGTGCTTCTTACTGACTGTTGTTCTGCGCGGCTGCAGGAATTGTCTCCGCCCCGTTATGGGATGACTCTACATCCACTTTCGCTGGTCTTCTAACAACATCCGACTACATCAATGTCATCCAATACTACTTTCAGAACCCCGCAGCCTTGGACCAGATTGACCAGTTCCGCCTCAACAGCCTGCGAGGTACAGACCCTGTCCTAGACACACTGCACACCAGCCGCATTCCAGATACAAGCTAACGGAAATGGAACACGACAGACGTGGAAAAGGCACTGGGTGTAGCCCCTCCTGAAACCATCTCCATCGATCCGGAACGGCCGCTCTATGAAGCTTGTCGCCGAATGCTCTCGTCCCGCGCTCGGAGAATACCTCTTGTATCGAACGACAGTCAGACCGATCGACAGCTGGTAGTCAGCGTCGTCACTCAATACCGAATTCTCAAGTTCGTGGCGGTCAACGTTGGGGAAACGCAGAAGCTGCGGAAGCCCTTGAAAGAGATCCGGCTGGGTACCTATCATGACATCGTAACGGCATCCATGGACACACCCGTCATTGACGTGATTCACAAGCTCGTCGAGCGCAGTATATCCAGCGTACCAATCGTAAACTCAGAAGGTAGGAAATACAGGACCCGTCGTGGCTGTGATCGTAATGAGACTTATTTTGTTTTCTCCAGGCATCGTATACAATGTTTTTGAAGCGGTCGATGTGATCACGCTGATCAAAGGCGGCGTGTATGATGACTTGAACCTTAGCGTAGGAGAGGCGTTGAAGAAGCGCTCACCTGTAAGTTATCGCGATTCCGTATTCCCATTCAGGCTCCTACTTACACCGCTGGAAGGACTTTCCTGGAATTTATACCTGCTCGATTAACGATGGCCTTGACACCATTTTTGACACCATCCGCAAGTCTCGGGTTCACCGGTTGATTGTGGTTGATGACCACTTCCGCCTCATCGGTGTTCTCACGCTGAGTGATATTCTGCAGTATATTCTTCTCGAAGGCGAGAATGAAGAGTGGTAAAGAGATAAATGAAAGGTTTCTGTGCATGAGAATAGGCGTTTAAAAGGATCGGAGTTGGGAGACCCGTGCATGGTGTATCGGCGAACAGGAGGGTTTTGGTCTGATTTTTTTTTCTTTTTCGGCTTTCCGCATGTTGTAATGCTAAAAGGTAAATTGTTTATTCACTTCGGTTCGCCGGCCACTTGGCGATGCTGTTGCTGTTAAGTGGCAGGGCGAGGTTTGGGATACTTTTTCTCATGACAGATAGAGATGACTTGATGAATTTTCAGCCTCTTTTTTTGATTGGGACACTTTCTGTGCTGTTCAAAGTTAGTCTCATGTGATTTAGGGCTTTGAAATTTCCGACTATTGAAGTCAACTGCGGGCTGATCTCAAGCAGGAAAGAGCGGAGGTTCATTGCGGCCGCAGAGCACCTGCCCTGCGCTGCTGACCTCCATCCCAAAGGCACTACTTCAACAGTTCTCTTCGGATGTACGACACAGAGCGATGAAAACAAAAGCCACTCAGGGTTAGATATAGTCCAGCAGAATTCTGGAGTCATTTCAACCACTCCTGCGATCGAAGAGCTTGCTAATACGAGCAACAATGGGTTTTCTTGACGGTCTTTTGTTCTTTCCATCAGCAAAGAGCGGCGATAAAGCTCCGGCTGCCACATGGTCACGGTCGCGGGCAGCAAGTTCTCCTCGCCGGTCGGATATCGTCCCTCTCACTCCGCAGACGCTGGAGAAAGAAGCACATCAAGACTTGCCAAAGCCCTTGGATGTCGAACTCGCCAGAAGTCTCCTCGGACAAGAACGTGATTCATCCAATCTCAGATCTGGCAGCGAAGAGCAGGCTGTGAGCTCTCTTGAAGACGCAATTGATGGTGTTACGGATAACAACGAGGCCTTTGAGAATCATGGATTGGATCGATACATCACGGCGACGTCCAAGAATCCGGAAACTCCACAGGTAGCGTCCACTGAAACAGATGGAATGCCTTCCTCACGCTCCGGTACGTCCAGGAGGGCTCGTCTGCGGCATAAGAGCTCCAGAGGACTTGCAGCGGTTAAGAGGTTCCTCCGCCACGGGAAGTCAACGCTGAGACAGTCTTCTCTCGACGAAGAAGGGAAACAGGCTCAAAGCACGGCCGCTGCAGTTGCTGCTGGCGATACACAAGATCGAGTACCCGCTGATGCTCCCAAAATTCTCGACGATCCATGGGCTCCTCGCATGGCTGCCGTCAACGAGTCGGCTATACGAACAAGCAGTCCGAGAGAACCGTCTGATCCAAGGAAGGTTAGCGACAAGACTGTTCTGTCCGAGTCTTCGGATAAGACCACAATGACGGTCTGTCGCCGACCGTCCAGGCGTGTTAGCAGCCCAATAACGACAGTAGACAGTAACTATATATATCCGAATGAGTTTGAGGACCCGAAGCCAGCAACAGTATCGAGGTCTTACGAACCGGATTTGCACGCGCATCCTCCCAGGGTCTCAAGTTCAGTATACAGTGACGATTTCAGTTCCCACGACGTTACTCTGTCCACTCACCCGTCTCAAAGGTCAAGCAGCCAAATGATCTACCAACGATCGCCGCCACCTAAATCCAATCTGTCTCTGGAGACACTCTCTCAGCGATTGTTCTCCGATGTCAGCACGCAGTCGGGACAATATCGTCAACAGAGGGCTGCGCGTGAATTCAACAGACTTGCCTCCAGCCTCAGGCTGTACCCACTGGTTTTGAGAGAAAATAGTGTATCCGTCGTCAGTAAGTAAGCTGCTTCGCAACTAACGGCTTATGATCGTTGATGGTGGTCCAGGCAATCCCCGGGTTACCGCTTCAGAAAAGTCCAGCAAATATAAAGATAACATACTTCGCAAGATCCGGAGCATGCGATCCAGTTTTCGTTTAGGACATACACGGAGTCGAAGCGGGCTAGGTTTACGGCGAATGAAGACGTTTGCCAGCTTGTCAAGTCGGTATTATCAGATGGATTCGCTCCGGGGCAGAAGTCTGGAAACGCTGGCTCGATTGGGCGGGTGTAGTTTTCTCACGTTTCCTGCGGACTTTGCCCCGGCGACCCTCAGGCTGCCGACTTGTATCGTGGCGACGATATCCTACCTGAAAAGCCATGGTGAGTTAACATGGACCCTGGGTTTTCAAAGACGTGAAAAATAACACTCATATTAGCATCCAAGACACGGCACGTCTTTTTTGACTCGGGGGATCTGCGAGTAGCGGTCCGGGTATATGATCACTTTGCGAACCAAGTGTTGTCGGCAGAGAGAGCGAAAGAGAAAGTAGATATTACGTTGAGAGGAAGTGAGCTCCCATGCGAGGCACTGGGGTCTGAGTCTGAAGCGTTCTTGCGGGGCCGATTCCACGCTCTCAGTGTGGCATGTGTCTTCAAGCAGCTGCTAGCAGGGTTGCCAGGAGGCATCTTGGGATCGGTGCGCCTGTACCGAACTCTGGTGGATATCTGTGAACGTGAGTTTTCGGATCAGGAAGTGGGACGGTCGGAAAACCCGTTGGCTGGCGTCTCGTCAGCAGCATCAGCCAGGATCAAGGCGATTGCACTAGCGATTTTGGCGCTGACGAGCGACATGCAGCTGGAGCTGATCTGTGCCGTGTTTGGGCTGTGTGCGCTGCTCGTGCATGAGACGGAGCGCATAGTTGAGCTGCACCGACACAGGAGGGGAGTACGGGGTCAGTCGGGGAGCCTGACAGGGTTGCTGGACCGGGAGAGGCTTGGGCGAGTGTTTGGGCCTTTGCTTACGGGGTTTGAGGAGGACACGATGGAGGAAGGGAGGGAAGACGAGACGGTGCGGGTGACAAAGATGCTGATTGAGAACTGGCGGGGGGTAAGTCGGCAGCTGCGAGTGTGGGAGATTTTTGGCTTTCCGGCAGGCTCAGGATATGGGAAGTAGATAGACCAGTTAGTGAGAAGCAGAGAATAGCAATGGAAGTCAGGAACAGATTCGAGACAGCCGCCGTTGCAGGGATGTCTCACCTTGGAGTCAAGCATAAGCTCGAGTCTGAAACCAGGAAATTAAAGAAATACCACACAATTTTCACGTAACATGACAAGACGTATGTCTATTTCTGTATCTAGCTAGAACGAAAGTAAGCAACACTAGACACAACCTGTGAGAGAGACTCCATTGACCACGCCCCTGGGATTCATCTCTAATTAATGAATTGATCACGCTACTGTTAGTCGAAGGATGTGGCTAGCCTAGAGTGATTCTGAATATTGCAGTATTTTTTTGAATCCCATATTATAGATATATATACCTTTGAGGTGTCGTGTATATACCCATCTACATTAGCTTTGGGGTCATAGTCATTGATATCGAGATTCTCTTTCCAGTCTACGACTACCTCTACATTCGTTCATTTCATGCCTGGTGCATTCATTCGCATAGAGTCTGGTCACTCTTTACCACTGCTTGAGATTGGACTTGTGTGTATTCTTCTTCGTTAATTCCATTATATATACCCCCAGTGTTATACGATACAATAAATTGATTAAAGCCGATCGATCGACATCTTGACAAACAATTGAAGATGAAGATCCTCGTCATCCTCCCCTTCTTCCTAGCCCTCACATCCGCCCGCACCATCTACCACCGCAACAGCTTCAACTCCTTCACCCGCCGGGACAGCAGCAGCAGCAGCAGCAACAACCTCCAACCCTTCACAGGCACCTTAGGCGGCGCAGCACCCCCAGTCACCAACTCCGGCAACCCCCAGCGCCCCTTCGAAGTCAACGGCAACACATTCGTCAACCTGGGCGCCGCGCTGCAGCGCTCGTGCGACGTGCAGTTCAATGCCTGTGCGGACCAGGCGAATGCGGGAGGGAATAAGGGGGAGTTGACGGTTGCGGCGTGTCAGGCGCAGCAGGGTATGAATCACCCTTTCGTTCGCTTGTTTCGTTTTGTCTTTTGTTGAGGGTGTGGATGCACTGATTCGGTTGTGGTGATTGTCTATATAGATGCCTGCGTGCAAACTGCTTCTTCTTCCTCCTCGTCGTCCTCGTCCTCGTCGTCGTCGTCGTCTTTGTCCGCACAGGCTAGTAGTGCGGCTGTTGCTGCGCAGGCGGCTAGTTCGAGTTCGAGCTCGAGCTCAGTTGTGGCGTCGTCTTGTGGGAATTGATTAATTAGTTTAGCTATGAAGGGACATGTTCTGCACATACAGGTACTGTATGTACTGTCCATGCAGGTACCTGGCTACGAATGCGATATTGATCGACTGATCAATTGGTCGATGGGTTGATGTCAATCAACACACACACACACACACACACACACAAAAAGGATAGAATGAGGGAGTATGGAAGTACGGTATGGTTATCACAAACAACAAGCAAAGAAAAGATCTTGTCCAGAGAGTTTCCAGGCGAGAATCTACAACCTAGTTATATGTATATGTGCTATCTAGGGAGTCTCGTATACTGGTACATTGGTACTTTGTTTATGATAGGATGGGGTGGAAGAAGGAAGATGGGAAGATATCTAACTACCTAAGTAGTTACTAGGTGCTATGATTAGAATTACGAGAAACAAATAAACCAACAAAAAAAAAGTGTTCAATGGTTCTTAGAAATATCATGTCATTATCTATGTATTTGTCTATCTATCTGTCTATCTATCTACAGGTAGAGTCTCTCATTCATTTATCTATGTACCCGTCTAGTAGACTCAGTTTACCCATTGACCAATACATCACGTAAATCTTGTATATCGGACAAAATACTGACTCCACCATAGCCATTGAGAGTAGTGCTTTACTAATTGACTGATAAACAACCCGAGTGTTTAATTATTTGATCAATTGTTTGTACTGAGTCCAAGGGGGGAAAAAATGTTATACTTCGGAACTATCGATCTGCACAATGAAGTCAGATACTGGACCTACGAGTTCCACTCCCCGCCTGCAACTAATTACAAACAAGCACAAGCCACTTAGGTAGTTCGCTGTGGCCCCCTATGACGTAATGTTCCTTGCAGCTAGCTATCCCCTCACGTGCAATACTCCTAACTGTCTTACTAAGGGACCTGGCAAGTGCGTCGTTCGAATTCTATGGCAGAGTACGGCAGAGTACCTTTCTTCATCAGCTGAATTGACGATTGTGCCCTCTCCTTGGCTGGACTTGAGGTCCGGAATGGGGAAAACTTTGTCAACCCAGCTGTCCAGGTGTCCGGGTGGATGCAATGGACAAAGTGGCTTGAGGGTTCCGCCAATCAGGAGGATTGTGGCTCTTCTTTGCTGTTAGTTACCTGGGTAGGTAAGTGTAGCTGTAGGTGTCGAGGTACTGTACTGTAGTACCTGCACGTTCTTTCTCTATTATTAATTCAGGTACTATTATTAACCTGTCTTAAGATAATTCTACTCAGTTCCAATCCTGCACGGGAAGATATTCCTCCGCATCCGTGCAGGACAGACGGTTCGACATGTAGGATGAGTCGGATGCGGAATGTGGCTTGTCCCGCACGGCCAGGAATCTTTGCTTATCTTCCAATCGTACGAACACCCCCCCCTGCTCAGTACTGTAAGCAGACAGGGGTGTCAACCGCGATAGAAGGTTCGCGAAAGACGGCCTCGAGAATCGATCGGATTTCTCGCCAAAATTGGGTTTTATAGTCCAACAGCTAACAGCAACATCGGCAGGGAATACGCGGGGGTTGATTATGCAGCGAAAAAAGAGACATGTCTCAGATGGCAGAGCATCGCAGTCCGCACACAGTATAGTAGTGCAGTGCTGGTAGTGATAGCAAAATCCTCCACCACGTCAGAGCCACGGCGGTGCCGGGCCCAGCCAATCACGGGCGGCCAGGGCTGGAAGACAGTCCCGACGGAGGCAGACGCGGGCTGGCGATTGGCCGCCGGGGCGGGATGTTCGGCCGCAAGCGGTACATGGCGGCAGGTCACTCCCCCGCGAACTGGCGCGCGGAGGTACCTGGCGCCGGGTACCACGGGCTCGCCACCGCCTTCCTGTTCTGCCGCGCCGGGACAGGCTCCGCGGCGGTTAAGGCCTTCGAATCATGCGTCGAAGCCCATGGAAACACGGGCACGCAGCCGCGCTGCCAGGCCCCGCTCGTGCCGCCGGATTTTGTTGGCGAGGTCTCGACCAGCAGCCCATTGCGGCCTGAGGCCAGCGGGGCCGCGTTCCCTGTTTCTCCGCTGCTGGCGCGTGTCCCCCGTTCGCGGCCATGCGGCGCTGTCGATCCGGCCCCGTCGTGATGTCAGCGACTCTCGGTAGCTCGTTACTCGCATCGCGGGCCCAGATCCTGCCTGCCCATGCTCGCCTCGAGGCAGGTTAGGTACCTCTTGCACTGTGGACCGGTTCCGTCGAGCTGTCCCCTCCCCTGCGCTGCTTCCCTGCCGCTGGAATGCCCCAGGCCAATGAGCGCGCGGCTGCTGCTCGTTGCGCGATGGAGCTGCGTCCTCGCCATCGGATGCAGCTCTCTGGACAGATGCTGCAGATGCTGGCCGTCCTCTTCCAAAGCTTTCCATCCAGCTCTCCTGCCCCTTGCCAGATTCCGTCCTCTTCTCTCCCCCGCCCAATAATCGCATCCATGTCGTTGGTGGATCTGCGACATTTCCGTCCCAGGGATCCTGGCTGATGGGAAAGCCAGCTGCGCGCCGACGATATTTACATACGAAAGGGCCCCCCCCCGTCCGCCCTGTCCTCCTGCTTCGAACGTGCGCCTGCTCTCTTGCGCTCCCCTCCTCGAGCTCGTCCTCGTCCCAGAAGACAAAGGAACCCCCCGCCCGCGTGCAACATCAACATCATACGATCGTGCGCCACGAGCTGTGCACCCATCTTGCCAGCCACTGCCCGGCTGCCTGCCCCAAGTCCGGACAGCTCCTGCCATAACCGTGTCCGCGAGGCGCGCATCCGCGGTCTCGCCCCTGCCTGGAAGCTGTTCCCCCCTTCGCCCGCCCGTGGCTCGCGCCTGCTGCCTTTGGTCGTTGTGTTGTTTCCCTCCGTGTCGCCCGCCGCGGCCGTGCCTGCCTGGTTCGAGAACTCCTTTGGATGTTCTCCCCTCCTCTTCCGCAATTACTTCCTTCCTCCAGCTGCCGTCCGACGCCCCGTAGCCGCCGCATGCTTTTCTCTTCCCTCCCTTTTCTCTGAGTCGTCCTGCTCGAGTCTGTCGCACGCGGGTTAAGCGACTCAGAAAAACAAAAGAGGCTGCTGTCATTGTTCTTCTGGAAATTCTCGCCTACAAGCCGGATCGGAGCTCTTATCTCTCTTAATTTCCTCCTCGCTCCGTCCCCATGTCTGCTCTCAATATGCTGGCCGAACAATCCCCCCTCGCCGCAACGGCCTTTACCACGGCCGATGCGGTGACGGCTGCTCCTCCGCCCACCTTCGACACCGGCCCCGCCTTCCCGGGCGACTTCCTGGGCCTGTCCCTCCAGGACGACGAGCATATCTGGGGATTGAGCCCCATGTCGCCGTCGCTATCTGCCTGGAACTCCAAACCGGAGCCCACGTTCGCCAATGCCAACCTGGAACGCGATCTGAAAAACTCCCAAGTCCGGAACGGGCAACCGACGCCACCCCTGGACGACCAGAGAGTGCCGTCTACGCAGGGTGACCTGATGACCTCTATGGGCGGCAACAACTTGTGGGATGAGACACAGACGCCGACGCCGACGCAGACGCAGACGCAGACCCCGACCAGCAGTGATACCCGACAGCGCAAGAGCCCCAGTGACTCGGCCCAAACAGGGCAGAATGGAAGCTCGAAACGGCGCAAGGTTCGCGAGTCCAAGCCTGCCACGAGCAACAACACCAGCAGCAGCGGTGGGGAATCGGATGACCAGAAGCAAGAAGAGAGGGCAAAGCGGGAGAAATTCCTCGAGCGGAATCGGTTGGCGGCGAGCAAGTGTCGCCAGAAGAAGAAAGAGCACACCATGATGCTGGAGACGAGGTACAAGGAACAGTCCGACAAGAAGGAGGAGCTCGTCGCCGAGATCGCTCGTCTGCGATCGGAGATTCTGGGCCTCAAGAACGAGGTCTTGAAGCATGCCCAGTGCGGGGACGAGCCCATCAAACTGCACCTGGCGCAGATGGTCAAGAAGATCACCTACAACGATACGGCGGAGATCCGCGATCCTACTACCGATATCACCGACCCTGCTGCTGCGGCTGCTGCTGCGGCCGTCGCCGCCGTTCCTCCCGCCGACCCGGGCACCTCTCCATCCTCGTTGCGGGGAAGTGTGTCCTTTGGCTTTGACGATCCCCTGCAACTGGATCCGTCGGCATCGGCGGCATCTCTGGAGCAGCAGTTCCGCCGCGACTCGGAAGCGTCGATGGCGTTTTCGGCAGACGACAATTTCGACGATCTCATCAATGTGTGAGTCAGGAGTGGAACAGGTTTCCATCTCGCATCTCACATCATCCCCTTTCTCCGTCTCTCGCTCTCTCTCTCTCTGTCCTCTTAATTTTTTTTCTTACAATATACTCTATTATTTTTAATTGGTAGATGATTTTGTGGGTGGATGATTGCGGCGTTTCTATGCTTGGGACTGATCTGGTTGATATGGTCTTTCAACCTGCTATACTGCATGACCTGATGTCCGGCGTTCACAAGGGCGCAAGTTTGTTTGGAACAACTCTGGTGGTTGTGCGTGTTTGTCTTTCGGAATGATGCGCTGTTGAAAAGCGCTGCAGAGGGATTGCTGTTAGGGTTTACAAAAGTGCTTATATGTGGCTTGTACCTAGTAATGGTAGTCACTAGTGTGTCGCAAGTCTGGAGGAATTGAGACCTGTAGTCGAATGAACAGATCAATTAAATCCAAGCGATCGTAATCTATCGCAAGCATCATACCCACATGAAGTGCGCGGATTACAAATTTCGACAGTGTAATAAGACGAAAGAACTTGACGCGGCCAATATCCTATTCTGTGTGTAGTCTGAATAGTAGTTCTCTGTATATGGTATGTGGGTATTTTTGTTTGTTCTAATAGATATCAAGCAAAACTGTACTGTACAGTGGTACAGCATGTCATCATTTATATATATTTATATTTATATTATCCTTCATCTTCTTTCGTAGGAGTAGGAGTAGGAGTAGTATCTTTTCCCTAAGACGAGGGTCAATCAAAACATCGCATTAATCTCCTCCAACGTCTTCCGATTCGTCTCCTTCAGACAGCACGACACAAACCCTAGGATGAAGATGTCCAGGATTCCGAAGAGGAGGAATGTCGCCCACCCCTTTCCTCCACTTTCACCACCACCACCTCCTCCTAGACCCGCTAATAGGTACGGCGTTCCCGATGACCACAGCAGGTTGAAGAGCCATTGCGCGCCGACCCCGAATGCCACGCCTGGTTCGCGGATTCGTGTCGGGAATATCTCTGATACGTATGGCCAGGGGAGCGGGCCCCAGGAGAGGTTGAAGGCGATGATGTTGAGATAGATGAGGGCGATGGTGAGGATGGATTTTGGTGTTGGTGTTGCTGCTGCTGCTGCTGCTACTGTGGCTGCTGCTGTTGTTATTTGTGGTATTTGGTGACTTTCGTCTGTGGAGGAGGTGGTGGTCGTCGTCTTGACCATCGCTGCGGTCATGACCATGCAGACTGCCATAAAACCTGCGCCCGCCAGCAGCAATGTCTTCCGGCCGAAGCGGTCGGAGATGAACAGAATGAAAGCTCCGCAGGACAGCACCTTGATGACGCCAAAGATCCCCGTTAGCAGGAGACTCAGGTTCTGGTTCTGGTTATGGTTCTGATTCTGATTGCCCGCCCCCACGACCATCGAGAAGAACTGCGGGCCAAAGTACGCCAGCGCCGTGGCCCCCGTCGACTGCTGGGCCAGGAAGATGCCGACCGCGAGCAGGATGCGGTGCGCGTTGGGGCCCTCGAGGAGCTCGTGTACCGAGAAGCCGGCGCGGGCCCGGCGCTCGTCCTCGATCCCGGCCCGGATCTCGGCCAGTTCGTCGACGACCGTCTTGTCGGAGCTCGCCCGGATCCATTCCAGGCTCCGTCGGGCCTGCTCGTGCTGGCCCTTGGACACCAGCCACCGGACGCTCTCCTCCAGCGTCAGCACGCCCAGACCCATGAGCCCGCCGGGCACGAGCTGGAGCGCGATGGGAATCTGCCACTGCGCGGGTCCAGAGGGGATGAACTTCATCGCGTAGTCGATCCAGTACGAGATGAGGATGCCGATCGTGAACATGAACTGGTAGCAGCTACCCAGCCTGCCGCGGATCTCCTTGGGCGCCATCTCGGAGAGATAGATGGGGATCACGCTCGACGAGCCCCCGACCCCGAGGCCGCAGATGACTCGACCCAGGTAGAACACTCCCAGGGAGTGCAGGTTGACGACCTCCAGGACGACTCCCAGGCAGAAACCAGCGAGCAAACGACAATGGCTACGCGTCGGCCGTGGCGGTTGTTGACGGGCCAGATGGCGAAGCAGCCCACGAGGGCACCGACCTGCTGGATGCCGACGGAGATGGCGCTGACGGAGGTCTCGTCGGAGGGGCCGTAGCGGAAGTCGTGGTGGAAGGAATCGAATGTCAAGACGCCGCCTGGGAAATCAGTATACAAGAGTGTCATTATATAGATTGTATGACACACCAATCAAGCCTGAATCGTAGCCAAATAGCACTGCCCCGCAGCACAGCACCATCGCCAGCCAGTAGAGGCGGACGTGAGCCTGGAAAGAGGACTTCTTCTTCTCCGCAGAAGAAGGCCTTTCCAGCAGAGGCGTCAAGCTCGAGATGTGATCGTCCAGATCACTGTTGTGGCTGGCCATGGTCGATGTGCGGGAAGAAGTCGAGTCCTGTACAGATACCCCCCTCCTTGCGGAACTCACATGGCTCTATCTAGGTCGATGACATGTCGAGATACGGGTATCTATGTACTGTAGATATGTCTTTTGAGGTCCCTGCTGAGGATTTCTGTGATAAGCACATTAGGTAGCTTGTCAGTTCTTGTCAATAAAATGAATGCAAGGAAGGAAGTCAGGTAGGTATGAATGTGCTGGACAATCCCTCCGTTAGGTAAATGCCTCCCAGGCAGCGGTGATTGGCCAGGCAGACGAGGCCATGCATTAGGTAGGTAGGTAGCAGTCGCAGAAGAAAATCCCAGTTTTATCGTAGTCCATCTATTCCGGAGTAATATTGTTATCACAAGAGTATATTGTTATTCTTCTCATTCGATGAGCATAGTATTAGCGAGCAGCTAACCTCGTTACAGTACAGCCAGACGGGGTACGTCGTCGAGATCCTCAACTTACCAGATGCGGTAGCGTAGCCGACGGCCGACGGGCGGAGACCCCACAGGCGAGGAGACTGGCCAATCAGGACGCGCGGATTGCTGGGGCATGACCAGCGGCGCAAGACTGTGGGGAAATGACGCAAGAGACGGCCGCTTTGGGGATGTCGAGATATCATTGTTCTGAGGGCATGCATAGAGGAAGGTTGATGGTTTTGTCAGGGACAATGCACAGACATGTAGTCCTGAGAAAGCATTTGCTGCTGCGAATTCGGTATTCTAATTCTCCTCTGTGATGGTCTCCAGATATGCGTGCTTGTACTCGATCGAGAGCTGGCGCCACTTACCTAAGCACTCCCGATGGCGTCGACTAGCCGACAGCCGACAGGCGACGGCCGACAACCCTAAGCCCTAGCTTGCATCGACCAATACGGACGAGGACAACGACGCGGATGCAACGACAGAGAGGAATGAAGCAGGGAGGGGGAGGAGGGTATAAAGATGGGATGAGGGCGCGTGAATCTGCTTTATTTAATTCTTCGTCGTGAGCAGCCTCCTGTAGCGGGAGAACTGTTGTGATCTCGATCGGACCATCCCATCTGCTCTGTACTTTCCAAATACGGCTGTTGATTCAAAGACCATGGCTCCCGCAAAACGGCCCAACTTTCTGCTCATCGTCGCCGACGACCTGGGCTTCTCTGACATTGGATGCTTTGGCAGCGAGATTCGAACGCCAAACATCGACAAGCTCGCCCTCAATGGAGGCATCCGGTTCACTGATTTCCACGCCGCTGCGGCTTGCTCGTGAGTGTACCCACCGATGTCAGATGGTCACTACTGACAATGCAAGCCCAACTCGTGCCATGATCATGACCGGCACCGACCACCACATCGCCGGCCTGGGAAACTTGATCGAATGGACCAACATCTCCGGCCAGAACGGCCCCAAGGGCTCGCAGATGAGCACCGCGCCGCAGCGGGGGATGCCCGGCTACGAAGGCTACCTCAACGAGCGCGTCGTCGCCCTGCCGGAGCTGCTGCGCGACGCCGGCTACCACACCCTCATGTCCGGCAAGTGGCATCTGGGCCTCACCCCGGAGCGCGCCCCCTGCAAGCGCGGCTTCGACCGGTCGTTCGCCCACCTGCCCGCCTGCTCCAACCACTACGGCTTCCGAGCCCAGCTGCGAGACAACGACGAGACGCCCACCTTCATCGAGGCCAGCTACATCGCCCTCCACATGGAGGATGACCACTACGTCAAGGAAGCTCCCCGAGGGCTGGTACTCGTCCAACGGCTACGGGGACAAGATGCTCCAGTATCTGAAGGATTGGCACAACTCGGACAGAAAGGAACAGCCCTTCTTCGCCTATCTGCCCTTCACCGCGCCCCACTGGCCCCTGCAAGCGCCCCGGGAATATATCGACCATTACCGTGGCATGTACGATGAGGGTCCGGACGTTCTCCGCGAGAAGCGTCTCCAGCGCCTGAAGGAGCTGGGCATGATCAGGGACGACGTCAAACCACACCCAGTCGTCGCCGACGAGGTCAAGGAGTGGAAGGACTACACTCCGGAGGAGAAGCAGAAGTCGTCGAGGGCCATGGAGGTCTATGCGGGCATGGTCGAGTGTATCGATGCCAACGTAGGCAAAGTGGTTGATTATCTTGAGAGCATTGACGAGCTGGATAACACGTTTGTCTGCTTCATGTCCGACAACGGCGCCGAGGGCGCGGCCTACGAGGCTTATCCCCTGGTGCAGAGCGGGGTGCTGCCCCATCTGCAAAAGTACTACGACAACAGCCTCGAGAACCTGGGCAATTACAACTCGTTCATCTGGTACGGTCCGCGCTGGGCCCAGGCGGCGACAGCGCCCTCGCGCCTGTACAAAGCGTACACGACGGAGGGAGGGGTGCGCGTCCCCTTCCTGGCCCGGTTCCCTAAGAGTGTGGAGGTGGCCGAGCATGCCAAGGGGATCACGGATCAGTTTACGACGGTGATGGACCTGGCGCCGACGATTCTCGAGATGGCCGGTGTGCAGCATCCCGCCCCAACGTATCAGGGCCGCGAGGTGGTTCCCATGCGGGGGAAGAGTTTCTACCCCTGGGCCACCGGCAAGGCGGATCGGATCCACGAGAAGGATTTCATCCAGGGCTGGGAGACGTGTGGACGGGCGGCCCTGCGGTATGGAGACTGGAAGATTGTCTACATCCCGAAGCCCAAGGGGCCGGAACGGTGGCAGCTGTACAACCTGGCGCGCGATCCGGGCGAAGTCGACGACCTGGCCGAAAAGGAACCGGAGCGGTTGAAGCAGCTGCTGAAGCTGTGGGATCAGTACGTGCTGGAGACGGGCGTCATCCCGCTGAACCCAGACCTGGGCGACTTCATCGAGGCGACGGAGGAGCAGATGCCGGAGAACGCGTGGATGGAGTACGACTACTGGAAGCCGGGGGCGCGAGACGAGCCGGAGAAATTCATGCGCAAGCCTCCGCGGTTCACGCGGACGGTGAAGCAGTTTTAACGTGTAAATAGGTAGTTTAATCTGTACATAAGTTGTTATACGAAAAGTGGCATGTTGCATCGTTATCTTATCAGCGCTGATCGATGCGTCATGCGGGAAGCTCAACAAGGACTAGTAGAGAAGATAACCACGGCTGGCGAGTCTAAATACGGTCATGCATCTCCGACTTGACCTATATATATGGTCTAAGTACCCTCTTTCTGAGAATTAAAAAAAAAAAGTGAGGGCAATAAGCAATAGCTACGCTGGTCACCATCATGGTGCTATTCAGCAAGAACGAGTATTCAGCGCTACCTCTTCGCAATCGACAAGAAGGCCCATTTGAGCAGTGGAAACCGCACAAGACGAGGAATTTGGTCAGTCTGTTTGTGTCTGTGTGCGCTGCGGTTGTGCTCTTTGGCTGGTTTGGTTTTGCGTTGAGAGGGGTAAGCATGTAGACCATTTACCAGGAAAGGAAGAGATAAATTAATCTCATTTCAATCGACGACTCGATAACTGATTTATTTCTATGCGAATAGGACTTACTACCCCTCAACCGTCTAATCGCATCTCCAACTTCCTCTGTCACCCACATGCACCTCCCTCTTCGTCCCCTGTCTTCTCCATCCCCTCGTCTGCAGCGTTTCCAGCAATGCTCCATCCAGAATCTCCTCGAGACCGACCTCTACTTCCTCCAAGGGGTTGCTCCGCCCTCCGTGGCGCATTATGAAGCGCGCCGCAATCGCTTGGCCAATGCCCTCGTCGCGGATGGCGTCGATGCGTTTGTCGTCGAGCCCGGGTACACGTTCAAGTATTATGCGAATGTCAGTCAGCCGGAATGGGAGGTGTGGGAGGTAGGTCAAGCCTGAACCATGTACAGTACATACAAATACGATGTTTACTCCCTCGACAAGCCGGAAGAGCGACCATTCCTCATGATCGTCCAGCCGCATCTCGACCTCGCGACCGGCCTCATCACAGCAAATACCAGCTTCCTCTGCCCGTCCTTCGAGGCCGAGAGAGCCCGTCTGCTGGAGATGCCCTTTTCGGAGCCCATTCAGATCATTCCGTGGCAAGAGCACTGGGATCCCTACGCGACGTTGATGGAGTCGGGCATTTTTACGGCTGCGGCGTCGGAAAACAGACCTCCGCGATTGATGGTCGACGAGGAGATGCGCGACTTTATCCAGCGTGGTCTTGGGGAGGAAGGGTTCGACGTCGTCGGTTTGCAGGGCCGTGTCGAGGCCGTCCGGCAGATCAAGTCCGACGAGGAGATTGCGATTCTTCGTGCGGTGAACACGGGCACGGTTGAGGCTGTGCGGCAGATGAGGAAATGTGAAGATTTTCTCCCTCTCTTTTTCGTCCAAGGTGTTCTTTTGTCTGATGTGTCCGTATATACAGGTCTCTATCACGGCCTGACGGAAAGCGAGATCGCAGAGGTTCTGGATAATACCCTTCGCGCCGTGGGGATGGAGCCATTTTTCGACATTGTCTTGTTCGGTAAGTAAAGGTTGCAACCTCTTCTTATATCCAGAAATTTTTACTAACTTGGAAACTGTGTAGATGAAAACGCAGCAAACCCACACGGCGGAACGAACGGGTCCAAGGTCCTCGATGCAGAGACTTTCGTCTTGATTGATGTTGGGTAAGAATTAAGTCTAGCCATTCTTCACTTTTTTTTTCCATTCCTAAAGATGCTGGAAAAGAGTAAATTCAAGCTGAATGCGACTAGTGCACATCTCCATGGCTACTCGTCCGACATCTGCCGCACTTTCTTCCCCCCTTTCTTGGAAAAGCCCGTCGATCGGAAGAATCTGTCGTCTGGACTGAAGAAAAAACTCGACGTCAGTTTTCTTTCCCCCCTCTATGAATGCAGAACTGTGTCCTGACTTTTATCTCTAGGTATGGGATATCGTTTTTGAGGCCCAAACACAATCACTGCATCAGCTACGGGCCAATGCGACGGCTGCCAGCGTGGACATCGCCGCTCGAGACGTCATCACCCAAGCCGGGTACGGAGACGCCTTCACTCACCGTGTAGGCCATGGGATTGGAATCAAGGGTGAGTATTGTACATACATACATCACACAGAGTATCCTACGCATGACTGTGCTGACCATCTTCAGCCCATGAAAGCCCCTACATGAACAAAGGCAACGTCCGGTCCATCCTCGAGCCCGGCATGGCATTCACATCCGAGCCGGGAATCTATCTCGTTGGCGAATTCGGTGTGCGACATGAGGATGTCCTCCTTGTGCAGGAGGATGCGGATCCTATTCTGCTGACGCAACGGGCGCAAGGACCGTGGGATCCGTAGGATTATAACTATATACCGCAGTATATACTCCTTACTATACATCGCTATTTCTGGGTAAAAGTATGGAGTACAGGTCTATGCTATCTTCGCTAAAGAAGAGGATAAACGAAGAATGAATTTCTGTACTTAGTCCGTGGCTTCACTTGGATTTGATAAAAACGGTCAAGATCAAGTATCTAAATTTCCAGCAGATTTTCTAACTACATATATGTCAGCTAGGTCTTTCTCTTGTATCCCAGTCTGTTTGACATTATACCTATCTTCTGCAAGGTACCTCTGTCAACGAATGTCCGCCAATAGGGAAAGTCCACTCCCAAGCGGGGCATGCAACGCCGTTGGGCGGGGTCTAAACTGTTGAGATCAATCAACTCGTACAATTCTAAGCTGCACGCCAATGCGCAGCCATTGACCATGTCAACATGGAGGTGCGAAGGTCTCTCTTCTCCTTCTTTATCCTGGCTGACTTCTGACTGACTGACCGACTGCATGTTCAGGCCCGCGGACTGGGCAGGTCTGGCCCCCGCAGGAAGACGGGCTGTCTGACCTGCCGCCGCCGCAAGGTCCGCTGCGACGAGACGAAGCCCGTGTGCGCGCACTGCACTCGCCTGAGGCTGCAGTGTCAATATAAATCCCCGTTGGAAGTGTCGACGACGCGCCAGCGTGTCGAGAAGAAGCGTGCTTCTACCGCTGCTGCTACTGCTGTTGCCCCTCCGCTGTCTGCCACCGTCCAGCCGTACTCCCCCGATGCTGCTACCTTCTTCGAGACGGTCCTCCGGCCGGAAGGACACAGCTCAGCAGCAGAAGGTATCCTTCCGGCAACGCTAGATGCCATTCCAAACGGCTATGCATCTGGAATTCCAGGAGAGACGACGACGTTTGATATCAACGACTTCATCGGAGGCATCACGTCGGAGCTGCAGCAGAGACAGCAGGGCCTGCACAACGAGACGCTGCTCACTGCCCACGACGAGCCGGTGGCGTCTCTGCTGGTGGAATTGGCGGCTACAAACGGTGCCAACGGCAACAGCAGTGATGCTGGAACTCAACAGGATGCATCCTTGAACTTGGACCACCACACGTTCGGGATCAATTCCGCCTCGAGTCCGCCCAGCAGTGTCGTCTCATCGACAGGACCAGGACCAGGGCCAGCACCCGATCATTCGATGGGGGTGGTCCTCTCCAAAGCCGTGTACGAGGAACAACTACTGCAGCACTTCCAGCTCGTCGGCGCGCCGCCCATCATCTTCGCTCCTTTCGACGTGGAGTGGAAGTTTGTCCGCCCGGCCATGCTGGCTCTGGCGCGGGAGTCGAACGCACTGATGAACGCTGTGTACTGCTATGCGGACGTGCACAAATCGCGGCTGGAAGGGAGGAGATGGACTGCGGCGCCGTCGTACTATCGACTCGCCAGTGCGGATGTCCAGTCCTCGTTAATGGAGGATATCGGCGGCAGAGCGCTCGAAAAGGTCTTTGCGACTGTGTTTTTGTTGATGCTGTCTGAGGTATCTATTTCTGGAATTCCTCTTCTTTTTCTTATTTGTTTCTAATTGAATTTTCCTGACCATAATCTAGCTCGCGTCCTCTCCAGACCTGAGTCGCCCCGGAAATTCCTGGCTTCACTCCGCGTATCTGCTCCTCAAGAAATTCTCCCGCAAGACCACATCCTGGCGAGGATTCGGCCATCTGATGGTCTCGTGGATTTCGCTCCTCGACGTCAAATCGCTCATTGCCGGCCGCGAGGGCGATCCGCTCGAAGAATTGGGCGACTTGTCTGCACGCGTGGACGAGCACAACCAAAAAACCACTGCCGATCCTCCCGACAACAAGCAAGCGCCCCCGTCACCAGCGGAAAAGACAGTCGACGACCTCTTCGCCGATCCAACCTTCTTGATCTACGACGCCATCGTCGGCCCCGTGTTCCGCTTCTTCGTCAAAGCGCAGCAGGTCATCCGGCGCATCGTCCGCATCGACCTGCACCACCGCAGCCGCGGCACGCTGACAGACGAGTTCGAGGTCCTCCAGATTGCGCACCAAGTCGGCGCCGACCTCGAAGCGCTGTGGAACTCGCGCCCCGCGGTCCTGGACGTCTACGAGCGACCGGACAAGCTGCACGATACGCTCACCCCTTCGATCGCGGCGCAGGTCTGCCGCACTTTCAGACAGTACGTCGCCAACTTCCTCACCAACTTCATCTATCTCCACCGCGTGGCCTTTGCCATCTACCCGCGCACCGACCGCGTCCTCGGTGCCGTGGACCGCATCATCAAACTCGCCTCTATCGAGCTGGACAGCAGCAGCAGCAGCACGACCACAACCACAACCGGGAAATCAACCCATCGCGGCGTCCTCCCAGACAGCTTCCTCTGGCCGCTCTTCATCGCGGGCCTGGAAGGATCCCTCCCCCAACGACGCTGGATTATGGATCAGATGCGTCGCATGGCGGCCACGGCAGAGGCAGACGACGACAACGGTCACCATCAAAATGGAGAACCGCCCTCTGTCGCTGCTGCTGCCGCCGTCGGTCAGCGACACCCCAATGCAGACAAGGCGCTGCTGCTGCTGGAGGAGATGACGCGCCGACAGGACGAGTCGAGGACGTCGGCCGACTCGAAATGCGTGCGGCGGGAGCTGTTTCGGGATTTTTTCATCATTATATGATTGGAGATCATACTCGTCATGTCTTCTGAATACGCGGCTTGTAGACCTTCCTATTACAAAAAAAAAGGAACTTTTATTCGAGAAGAAACAAACCTTATATTATATACAGCGGGTGACGACTCCTCACACCAGACCCTCATATCCATTATTCCTTCTCCGACTGCGCGCAAACGCAGAGAAGAGCGTCTTGTCTGCGCCCCCGACACCGCCGCCCAGACACAACTTGGACAGGTGCACGAGGTGGCCTCTCTCTTTCCTCACATAGGCCGCGTACGAGACAGCAGCGGTGCTGATGGCGCCGTAGCTGATGAGGACCGGGTACTTAAATTGCTCGGGGCGGGGGAAGATGATTGTCAGCATGAACGAGACGAGCTCGAACATGTTCTGCAGCGCCATTTCGGTGGACGAGAAGCGGGCTCGGACATCGGGGCTTGTTTGCTAGAAATCAATGAGCCAGTCATCCTTGGACTTGTCTTTCTCTTGACTTACCTCCTGGACGAGATATTGCACCGAGAGATCGAATCCCCACAGTCCCACACGGCTGAGCGCGACCCCCACGATCAGGCTGACAGCCACGAGACGGGCGTTGCTGGAGTCGAAGAAGATGAACCCTGCTGCGGCTGCGGCTAGGCAGCCAAACTGCCAGTTGATAAACCACAGTCCAGCGCGGACGGGGCCAATCCGGTGCATGGCCATGGGCGCCGCCCAGGTGGCGGCCAACTCGGAGATGACGGCCCCGATCCTCATGCAGCTGACTTCGAGAGAGGTGAAGCCGGTGTAGAGTAAGTAGGCGATCATCTGCGGCGCAAAGGACAGCACCGTGAGATAGAGCAGGCTCAAAGCAAACGAGGCAAGGAAGACGGGGCTTGTGACGTAGTCTCGCCATGGAGCTGCCATGTTTCGAAAATAGCGCACGATTGCATTGTTTTGTAGCGCAGAGCCTTGCGGACTCTCGCCCGGCGGGACCTCTTCGCCGGATGATGGAGGGTCTATTCTGGCCAGCTCAGGCACTGCATTGTACACCTGGTCGTAAATTAGCCATCCGTTGGCATCATCGTCTAACATCTGGTCATCAGTGTGTATGACTTACCTGCGCAATTGCGAGGTATTCAATCACCACCCAGGACGCATTGAGCCCAAAGACGGTCCAGATCGCCACCTTGGTGGAAAAGCTGTCCACGAGGGAGATGAACACCGGCGCAAAAAGCTTGCAGAAGAGATCAATGCGGCGCATCGACGCATTTAAGTCTGAATTCTCATTAGCCAACGAACAAAATAAAAATACAGGTAGATGTAGATAGATACCTTCCCTTGGAATTTGAAGGCTTTCCGCTATGATCACGACCTATAAGCGCCACGTTAGTTTCCTGGACGTCATTCGAATAAAATATCTAGCACTGGAGGACACCCACCCAGTCCCTTTCTACAGACACGGTGTTGGCAACCGACGCCAGCTTCTCCACGCAGGCCAGAGCGACGACGACGATGAACAGCAACGGACCAAGGACTGAACTGCCATCCTTTTCTGGAGATAGGAGGAGAATAAAACACAAGCAAGACAGCGCGACGGGAATTCTCTGCCAGACTGTTGATTCACATCATCAGTTCTGTGAATGTCATGATAAGAGAAGAGAAATGAGTTCTTCCAACGAAAGAACTCTGCATATATGAATCCGAATGCATATTAATATACAATATTGTAGATGGGACATACCAATCGACTGCCTTATCGTCGTCAACCTGTTCATCCGATCGATCCGCGATCCCAGCCACGACGACAGCAGGGCCACCGCCAGGGACCGCACCAAGGCGTAGACGGACGTGTAGAGCAGCGTCTCGGGAAAGACGGAGACGAGGAAGAGGACGGCGCCAAACTCGAACATGCGGGAGCTCCATGTCGAGAGGAAATGGGAGAGGTAGAGTCTTCTTGCCAGTGCAGTCCCACCTCGTCCGGGTGAGTTGCTACCAGGACGCTCTCCACTGCTAGCACTACCGATTGATTCATGCGGGAGTTCACCCTCTTCACGCGATGCGGATTCAGATTGCATTCCTATTCTTCGGGATAGGAGAGGATCTTCAGGAGAATCAGACTGAGATGCTTCATCTCCGTCAATCATGTCTCTTCGTCCTTCTGAGTTTGGGCCAGGTTCAGGCAGCCCGTGGTTAGGGGCCATTTTGACTTTCCTCTTGGTTGGCCAGGTCTGGAGATGGAGGAAAGTTCAGATGAATGTGTATACAGTATAGACTGCTACAATTAGTATTTGTAGTTAAATGAGGGTGCACAGTAGACTGCGCTGTAAAAAAAAAAGAGGGCTCACTGAGTTCACGTGATATTCTGTCGAATTGCTCTCTCGGGTTTTTATTCCGCATACCTGCTGTACTATATAGCTGTAGAACTGCACTAATGGCAGATCTCTGGCACAGTGACACAGTCAGATCCGCAATTGCTTCTGAAAATCGGGCTTGTCCTCCGTACGGAGTAGGCCCTGTAGGACAGACAGCTCAGCCCACACGGATCACTTTTCTTCCGTCAAGAAAGAAACCGGTGCGGAACACCTAATTGATGACGCTCATTGGCCCCGAGCACGGTGACACGGCCGGAGTTATTCCATTGAGCTGCATGTAAAGCAGCAAAATGCGGTGGGGAGCGTTAGGGAGCTTGAATGAAGAGGTCGATATGCTCTGCGGTCCGTGCGACAGTCGGATCGGGACAGGGTGCTGTTTCCTTTTGGACGGACCATCCAATGACCCCGTACTAGGAAGGCACGGCAAAAGATCGAAATATCGGCAAATCTATAGACAGGTGCCTTGGCCTTCGATATCGGATATCTTCATTCAAGGGCCTGTTCCTTCCATCCAACAATTGGAGAATAATATAATAAGGTTGAAACTGAAAAAGCCCCGCAGCGCACAAGGTCCTCCCGCCTCAACCACGTGGGCTGACTCCATCGCGATCAGTATAAAGAAGTCCTGGGTATCACTATATACAGATCGAACGTCCGGACTCCTCTCACAGCACTAACTACACTACGTGCTTTGGCATTGCAGCTATCAGCTTGCTGCCGACATGACGACAACGATATCCGCAACATGGCACAAGGCCGTCGAGGCCGAAGAGATTCTGCAGCGATCATCTCAAGTCCTGTCCGTCGTCGACGGCCAGGCATACGTCTTTGGCGGCGAGCTGCGGCCGCGAGAGCCCCGGGATAATGATGTCCATGTTCTTTCGCTGAACCTGAGTAAAGGTATGCTCGTATAGCATATCAGTGTTTTTCCTCCTTCCTTTCTTCCCCTTAGATGAGGATTTGTTTCATATCTTTTGTCACCATTGCGTACTACGTCTCTTATTACTGTCTTTTACATGTGTCAATTATGAGACAAATCACCTATGGAAGACCTTTCTTATCAAACATCAAAGCTAACCTGCGTCAAGGCAGTAAAACCACCATCTCCACCAAGCCGGCCACATCTGCCAGCCCATCTCCTCGCGTCGGCTCAGCCTCCACCGCCCTCAACGGCAAGATCTATCTCTTCTCCGGCCGGGGAGGAGTAGCCATGACACCCATCGAGGAGCACGGCTCCATCTGGGAATTCGACCCGTCCACTGCCACTTGGACGCTCATTGAGCCGGCAGACGCAAAGTATCCGCCTGCCCGCAGCTACCACTGCATGGCCAACGACGGGCACAAAACCGTCTACGTCCACGCCGGATGCCCTGAAAAGGGCCGGTTGTCGGACCTGTGGGCGTTCGATCTTACGACCCGCGTATGGACCGAACTGGCTCCGGCACCCGATCCACCGCGGGGAGGGCCCTCGATCGCCTTCGCAGAGGGCAAGCTGTACCGGATGAACGGCTTCGACGGTAAAACCGAGCAGGGCGGCAGTCTCGACGTGTATTCTCCCGAGACCAACACATGGACGTCGCTGCAGTACCCTCCCGACGGCCAGGCCGGTCCCACGCCGCGCAGCGTCAGCGCCCTGCTCCCGGTTCGTATTACCAACGCAGGCAACAGTAAGACCGGTCTGGTGACGCTTTTCGGGGAGCGAGATCCCAGTGCGCTGGGCCACCAGGGCGCCGGGAAGATGTTGAGCGACGTGTGGCTGTTCGACCTGGCCAGCCAGACATGGCACGAAGTGGATATCCAAGGCGAGAGCCGCCCTGTTGCCAGAGGCTGGTTTGCTGCTGACACAGTCGGCAACAGCCAAATACTGGTGCAGGGCGGACTGGGCGAGTCGAACGAGAGGATCGGGGATGCCTGGTTGCTCGCGTTTTAAGCGATAGCTCACGCAGAGAAAACAATGATGGCAATGATAATGAGAATGATAACGACCAATTGACTTTTCTGACATATTATTCCATACCTGGGAATAAATTTCCTTTCCACAACCAAGCCGCGGGGTTTAAAAAAAAGGATACCTTTTTTTTTCCATCATGACATTTATGCCTCTGTACGGTGTATAGGAAAATGTCTGATTGTAGAAAGAAATAAAAAGTAAGGAGAAATACACGCCTATCTAGAAATGTAATAATCTGATACAAAGTGATTTCAAAATGGCAAATCATCAACCAGTAAAACCAAACCAATTTCTTTTTCACTTTGCTTTTTTTTTACTCCTCATCCTCTCTCCATCTCAACCCTTCAGGCGTCTTGACTGTCCGCCGGGCCAGCACCTCGGCAACCTTCTCCCGCACGCCTTCCTTGTGTCCCCACTTGCTGACGAACTCCTGGACGGTGTGCGCCTGCGACTTGGAGTTGTCGCGCACAAACTTCTCGATCTCCTTCTCGCTGGGCAGCGCGTAGTGGGCGTGGGGGTATCGCGTGTAGTTGGTGCTGTTGAAGAGCGGCAGTTTCTGCTGACCGTCCGGGATCTCGAAGAAGGCGTCGACGTCCTCGTTCGTCACCGCCTCGAGGCTGTCCGGTTGCCATTTCGCCTGGGTCGGAGGCTTCGAGATGAGCCGCGCGGACACGCCCTCGACGAAGTCCGGATGCCGCATGAACTTCGCCGCGATCTGGTGCTCCCGCCGGAACGTCTCTGCAATCCCCCATTTCTTGCCCAGACGAAGCTGGCGGAGCGTCACCTTGAGCGAGGTCGGGGAGCGCATCGACAGCGTCTCCAGGGTCTTCTGCGCCCACTCCTTGTTCTTCGTCTCGTTCTCGAGAGCCTTGATGATCTCCTCCACGGTGTTGTATTTGAAGCATCGGTCAATCGCATTGCGGAGCGATCCCCGGAGCAGGATCGGCTCCTCGTCAATCGGCGGCAACCCCGTGGAAAATTCGGCGATGGTCTTGTTGACCAGATCCAGACGCTCCGGGAGGCTGGCATAGTCCTTAAAAACCAGCTCTGACAGTCGAGCGGTCAAGTTGCCCAGGACGCTCGAGTGAAGGTAGTGCGTCGCGATTCCAGCGTACAACGTCTGGACCCCGTGCAGCCGTTCCGAGGTCAGGGCCAGGTACGTCCCGATCTCACCGTCCAGACGCGAGAGGAAGAAAGAGCCGCCGACATCTGGGAAGAAACCGATGGTGGTCTCGGGCATGGCAAACACAGTGCGCTCGGTTGCAATCCGGAATGGAGCATGCACGCTCAAGCCCACGCCGCCACCCATGGTAATCCCGTCCATTATGGCCACGTAGGGCTTGCTGTAGGTCGCAATCAGGTGGTCCAGTTGGTATTCGAGCGCGAAGTAATCCGCCGATTTCTGCTGACCCTCGGGGCCCTCCTTATTCTGCTGAGCGAGGGCGGTCACGTCTCCACCAGCGCAGAAAGCCTTGCTTCCAGCGCCCAAGATGATGATGATATTGGCCAGTTGAGATTTTTCCCATTCCTGTGATTTTGTTTCAATTGCTTAGCATTCGCCCGAGGGAGACAAAGTGAGAGGACAGCATATATACCAGAAGCCTGGGAATGATCTTCCGCGCCATGGAGGCGTTCAACGAATTGAGCTTCTTGGGCCGATTGAGCTCGATCGATCGGACACCGTAGAGGGAGTTGAAGAGGACATCATCAGGGTCGTCGCCAGGCTGTTCCTTGGGGATCTCAGGGAGAGCTGAGAACGACTGCCAGCAGTCAGCACAGTCACTTCAAGTAAGTACTTCCTTTCTCGTCTCGTCTTACCCTAGCATGCCCAGCAATAGCTGGGTTGTTCACCTTGGCGCGCAAAGGCATTGCCGCTCTGGCAGACCGCGAGAACCAGCTCAGCGGTGTTGGCAACCGGGAGGAAGAGTGTCGTAGTAGTAACATCAATGCAGAGAGGCACGTCTTCCAGAGCAGCGATCGTGCAATTTATTGAGGATTGAGGGGATGGCGTTGGGATGGCAGCGGGCTATATCAATCAAAAGTTCTCCGCTAGGACTGCGGTTGACCTCGGAGGCTCGGCCAATATTTTCTGGCTTGATTTTCCTTTACCGAGCCTAAGCCAGCAGCTCTCCTTGCGGGGAACCGGCAGCGCAGCAACAGGCAAATATTAGCACGAAAAGAAGTCGGCGAATTCTTGACGATACTAATAAGAGCTTGTTTCTTTCTCTAATATAATGGAGCTGACCTCTACTTTGAACCCACACCACGAGAGTTGTAAGATTCTATGGCTTCGTGACCATCTGCCAGAAACATAGTAAACACATGCTTTCAGCAACCGTAATCTATTTTGTACAAATCAAAATACGAAAGGAGAAACACAACCCATTCGCCCGTAGTTATACATAATGGCTCAATCGTACTTAGCCTTGGCAGGCTCCTTCCTCAAATCCCTCGAATGCTGGGCCAGAATCTTATCCAACGCCTTCTTTTCAATGATCAGCCTGCCCGTCTCCAGCAGATCCTTCACATCCACATCCTCCCGGTCCAGGATCTTAGCGTGCTCCGAAACCTCACTGACCGTCGCAAACAGCTCGTCGTCCTTGACGTCTGTGATGAGGGTGGATCTCCCGTGTTCGTGACCCCAGGAGTTCCTCTTGAAGATGTTTTTGATCAAGTAAGGAGTTGCGCCCTCTGGTAGCGAGATCTTGCCGTCCACAATGATCAGCTGCCCCCGTCTGAACCGATAGCTCAGAGCAATCCGCCACGCCTTATCGTAGATCTTCCGCGGGAGCCCCGTAGAGAAATCTCGCGGTTTAGGACCAAAGGCGACACCACCTCCTTTGCGAATCGGAGACTTCTTGTCTCCCACTCGTGCCCTACCAGTTCCCTTCTGGGGATAAAGTTTTCGACCACTGCCATGCACCTCGTCTCTCCATTTCGTGCTGGCCGTTCCTTGGCGAGTCTTGTCACCCTCGTACACGATGGCTCGGTGAAGGATGTCACGTCGAAGAGGCATAGAGAGATGTTCCGGGGAATATTCGACAAAACGAAGGGGTTCCATCGAGGGGAACGAGTACAACATCGCCTGGACGGGAGGAGGAGGCCTCCATGCTGGTCTGGATATCGCAGCAACTTCCGAAGCAATGGCACCGGTCACGGGAGGTGTGGATGACTGTTGGGAAACCTGGGCCTCGGTGGCCATTGTCCGCGATGACGGTGCTGCAAAGCACCGCTTTTTTATCCAGTTAATACTGATTCATTCAATGGCTTGCTTGAAGGACATGGCATGGACCTACCATCACGCTCCCAGGCCCCTGGAGAAGGCCATTGGTGCTGCGCGTGAGCCACCTCAGCGCCCGAAGTGCTCTACCGCCGGGCATCGCGAGCGACCCTCAGCAGCAGAAACTGACTTAACCGGGTGTAGCAGAGATAGCAGGGAGAGGAAATGGCAACAACAGTGCTGCAAAAGTTGAGGATTGGGGTGTCGGAGTCCGGGACGCGGAGCGGACCAGATTTGCGCTAGCGCTCGACGAAAAAATGTCCGCCCAGCATCTCCAGCAAGAAGCTCCTCCGCAACACCAGAACCTCACCCACGCCTACGCCATGTCCCATTGCGAGCTGGCTTCTAGGCCGCTGCTGCAATGTCTTCGGCAGACTTGCAGCAGAGGTCTGCCCGTGATCCAACTGCAGTCTGCACGGTCCTTCCAGACCACGGCGGTTGCTCGCGATGAGGCCCAGGCGACCGAGCCCAAAAAGGAGCCCTTCTACAAGAATCCTGACCCTGCCCTCGTGAGCAGTCCTCGACTGGAGAAGAAGTTGCTGAAACAGGGCATCTCGCCAATTGGATCTCGACGACGTCGTGCAGCCCTGCAGTCCTGTCCCAACATCCCTTTCGAACAGCTCCCCTACCAATGCTTCCAGGAGGCCCGGAAGGTGCTGCTGGAAGACCGGGAGGAGAAGCTCAAGGAGATCGCGCGGGAGCGAGACAGGATCGCGAGGGTTCGTGCCACGCCGGCTGAGGAGATGGGAGGCGAAGTAGCGAAAAAGTCCAAATTGGTCGCAATGGAGAAGCATCTGGAACGACTCAAAATCCTCGCAGATATCAATGACCCCATCGTCAAAAAGAAATTTGAGGACGGTCAAGGTAAATTAGTTTAGGTTCATTCGAGGCTACGTTGTGTACACTAACGATCCTGCTTAGGGGACATGAACAAGCCGATTTATCGGTATCTGGCAGACAGGAAATGGCGAGAATACCGGCGTTTGATCCTCATCCAAAGAATCACGCAGATGAAAGTCATCCCTGATGTTCTGCCTCATTGCGATCCCACTGTCGATGTGAAGCTATACTTCGGCCGCCGTTGCATCCAGCCCGGCGAATTCGTGGACTCCCGGGTCAGCGTGACTCCGCCCAAGCTCAACATCCAGTCCTTCGAAAAGGGAGAGAAGCTTGTGACGATCGCCGTGATGAACCCGGACATTCCGAATGTCGAGACCAATGGCTTCGATTTCCGGTGCCACTTCCTCGCCATCAACGTGCCCATCTCCCCGACCAACACACGCGTCAACCTGGCCAACCTTTCCGAAGAGAACCAGGTTCTCCTCCCCTGGTTCCCGCCGGCGGCTCAGAAGGGAAGCCCATACCACCGCCTGTCTCTTCTCGTCTTGGAGCAAGAGGATTCAAAGCCCCTGGATATTGCTGCCGTCAGGGAGAGGGGAATTTCGCGCGACCACATGCGTTTGCGGACTCTGCAGAGCTGGTATCATCTGAAGCCGATCGGTGCACACATGTTCCGGAACCAGTGGGATGAGGGCACCGACGAAGTTATGGCGAAGTTTGGAATTGAGGGTGCGGATGTCGAACTGCGGAGGAAGAGGGTCGAGCCTCTGCCCTACAAGAGGAGGAATCCGGCGTCATTCCGGTGAACGGACTGATGCCGTCTGGACGAGATTATACGACTTTCTTCTTGCAAAGCTTGTATTTTACAGTCATTTTACAATCGTTATGTATGAATATATACAATGCCGCTTTTTCTGTAAACCATCCCAACTCTGAACGCCTGATGCCAATGCAAATACCTCAGAATAAACGTATATATCGTACAGTCCCCACCTGTCTTTCACGACGAGTGCTCATCCGAGAACTGGGCCGGTTGCAGGGTGTTTGTCACCCATTGGATCTTCGAGGGTGGCCAGACTCGGGCGATGATCTTTCCATTGACCAGGCCCAGAGGCACGGGTCCGTAATTTCTCGAGTCTCGCGACCAGGGCAGATTGTCACCGGCAAGAAAGACGTGACCTTCGGGGACCTGGAGCAGTTTTTGATTGACAACGGTCAGAACTGTTTGCAACCTAAATTCTTGGAAACAAACCTGAATCATCTCCCCCTCCTCGCCAACCTCCGTACTGAACGGCGGATCCTTGCAGACGAAATCGCCCGGCATGCCCAGGACGCGTTTGGCGCCATTGACGCCGAGGAAGGTCGGGTGGTAGAAACGCACGACGTCGCCGACCTGGATGCCCTTGCCGTGGTCGTGCAGCCGCGAGATGAGGAGCCAGTCGCCGCGGGTGCTGAAGGTCGGGTACATCGAGGGGCCCTCGCTGCGCTGGATGGTGAAGAAGTGCTCCCAGACAAGGGTGCAGGCGCAGAAGACGCCCAGGCCGTCCAGCGTCAGGCGGAGGACTGCTCCGGGAGTAGCACGCCGGAGCGCTTGGCGGAATAGGCGGGACATGTTTGGTATTTTTCTCTCTTGTCTGCAGACTTGGAGAGTTTTTGTTTCCAAGCTCTGCAACGGGATCTATCCCATGCTCTTGAGAGAGTGTGCTGATTTGCTGCTTGATAGGATCAGTATACCGTTCATGGCAATGCGGAATGCACAGAATCCCGTCCCGCGGAGAGACAATCACGTGGGCGGAGTTCGCTAGCACTCGTCAACGAATTTTTTTCCCTCGATTTTCCTTTTCCCTCTTTCATTCTTCTCTCACACTCCGGTTCACGGCATGCCAATGCCATTGCCATTGGCATCAGTCTACAAACCATAATGACTGGTCAGACTCAGACTCAAGATGCTGGGCTGAGAAGACCACTCTACCAGGCTTGTGCATTGGATCCTTTCTTTTCTTATTTACTCGATTAGATACCCCAATTGAATCCGCGTCAATTCTCTCTCGTCTCTTCCACCGTTGAAGAAACAAACATATTGCATCGCGTCTCCTTCTGTTTCCTACAGTATCTTCTGAGTTTCTTCTCTTTTAACACAACATGTGCCTCCCCAGGCATATACGTACGCTTCTTATATGCTAGAGCTTGCCGTTGCCGAAATCAAACACCAGGACGTGCGAGTGTGGACGGAGAAGCAAGATCAAATATCATGTTCCCACTAACGATACTCAGCTTTTACTTCCATTTAATTATGGAGCGTTGAGAGTTGAGGTGTAGTTGTTGGGAGACATCTAAATAGTCCATCCAAGATTTTTTTTTCTATGGTGACTATATTATGAATTACTGTCTGTTAACTAGTGATTAATATGAATTCAGTCGCTGTCTTTGCTCGTGTTCGTGCTGATATCAGCTCCCTGAGCTTTCCTTTCCAACTCTCCTCCCAGTCTATGGCAGTCTACCTCGCAGCATTGCGTCCGCATCTGGCACATATCACAGTTAGATCAGTGGTTATCAACTTTTTCTTTTCGGCCTGCTTACCAGGATGCTTCTCAGGCACCGGAATGTCCTTCCGAGTCTCTGCCTTCTCCTCGTGGTTGACTCCAAACCGAGAATCGCGATCCGCCAGCAACGCCTTCCGTCCTCCCGGATGGATCTTGTTCGCCATGTCGTCCGAGATCAGACTGGCCATCAACTGGGGCGTCCCCAGGGGCACCTTGTCGCCACGGTCGACCTGCCAGAAGTGGTACGTCTTGCCGTACAGGCCGATGATGTCCTTCATCTCGGCCGTCTCGGCGGCCGTCCAGACGATCTGCGGCGTGCCCGCCGGCGCCGGCATGATCAGCATGCCGCTCTTGACCTCGTAGAGGTGCGAATGCCACAGCTCGCGCTCCTCCTGGGGCAGCTCGTTGTAGAGCTGCGGCGAGATCATGTATTCGACCCCGATAAGGCGGGCGCCGGCGTTTGAGGTGTCGTAGATAAGGCATTGTCGGATGTCTATCAGTATCAACATCAGTCGCCCAGATGAGAGGGGGGTTGTAGACTCACCCTCCGTCAAATGCGTACAGTAATGATTCGCCTCCACGACGCGCGTCGGATCCGACGCGTAGACGTGCAACGCATTCAGAAAAGCGCAGATCTGCTTGACGGGGCGGAAGTCCTGGACGATCGACGCCCCTGTGTCCAGAATGCGGCTTTTGGTTGTGAAGTCGGACCCTGCGGCGCGGTCTGTTGCCATGGTTTGGTTTTGAAACTATCCTATCGATCGTGTTTCCGTTTTATAAATGTCAGGTTAGATAGATATCTAGGTAGGGTATGATATTGAGTAACAGATAGAAGATGGAAGATGGAAGATGTCTGCTACTCACTCACTAGGTATGATTCTCTCCAGATAATCAGACCAGAAGAACAATTAATTGCATTCAAGCCAATTCACTCACTCAATTGAGGAACATGGGAGAAAAAGAAAAAGAAAAGGAAAGGCACTCCTCTCCTGACGTCACGGTGATGGATGGATGGATTGGAAGGGTGCCAGTATGCGAATTGAGTTTGTTTGATATGATACAATCAGTCTGTCAGTGCAGGTGCTGAATGAATGTCAATAGGTCTGTTTAGTGGGAAGGTTGTTTTCGTGAAAAGCTAGTTAGTCAATTCCTGCTGCTTTTTTTGAGCCCGATATATCTAACTAGCCCAGGATCTGGTTATATAGATAGATCGATAGACCTGTAGATCTGAGTCTAGTATACTGGATAGAGGGATTCTGGTAGAGCACTTGCAGCGTATTTATATTAGCTGCTGTATCTATTTACATCGCATTCTTCATCTCTCTCAGACGAGCCATGACTTCTACCGGATCTGTGCGTCCGGTTGCTTTCTGGATCTCGGGGTCCTAATAACAAAGGGAAAAAAATGGTTAGTTCACTCCTATCTGTATGTAGTTGATTTTGTTTGCACTTACATTCACCCTCATAAAGACGTTGTGGAGCTAATAATATCGAAAATCGAGTTAGCACTGCAAAAATAAACCTGGGGGGAAAAAACTGCTAACCTTCTCATCTCCAATGGTAAGAACACCCTGTGTGTTCTCGTTCTGCTCGGCGAAAGCCTGGAGCTTCTTGATGGCCGGCGATTGTGATACGGTCAGCAGGAACTTGACGTTGCTCTTGGTGTATTCATGGCCACTCTGTCCAATCTGTCAGTTCTGTCATACATGTACATTACGTGTGCAGAAGGAAGGGTGCCACGAACATAGACTTTTGTATCGTCCGGCAGAGACGCGAGCGTCTCGTTCAAGGCTTTGTGCATCTGCTTTGCGTCGCCTTCGAAGAATCGTCCACATCCTGGTTGATCTTAGCAGAGCACAAGATAAAGACTGTTTTTTATCGTTTATGCATGTTCGTACCTCCAGTGAAGAGCGTGTCACCAGTAAAGACGACACGCTGGTCTCCGTCCTCGAGGAAGAAGCAAATGCTGTCCTGCGTATGGCAGGGCGTATGAAGCGCCTTTGCGGAGATACACTCGCCAATCTTGAACACCTCACCGTGGGCCGGTGTCTTGGTGACAGACTTGCAGTCTTTGCCTCCTATCACCTCCAATTTGCCGAATTGTTTGAGCTGTACCAGTTAAATCAGCAGGTCTGTGAGGTCTGTATTACGAGAGATCGATGGGCAATCACTTACAATCTCATCGTTACCACCAGCATGATCCCAGTGGCTGTCACAGACTCACAGTCAATAAAATAATTGCAGCACAATCACGGGACCTTCACAACATACTGATGGGTGTTGATGATCGCACGCAGCTTGATCTTCCCAGCATCGATCTGGGATTTCAACACCGGCGCAACCCTGGTCAGCGATAACGGTTAGCAAGCTTTCTCTCTCTATTACTTTACTTCACTGGAATAAGATAAGGACAGGCAGCATACTCAGGTGGATTAGCCGGATCGACAATGACAGATTCCTTCGTCGGTTCGTCCGTGACGAGGTAGGCATAGTTATTGCCCTTCCCCTTCCCTGCATGAAACGCACGAGATTCGATGATTAGAAATCAGAACACATGATAGGTTTGTATTGTATTGTATTGTAAAGAGGAGGAAAAATGCAGTGACACCTACACATAGGAATCGTTTGGATATGCATGGTGCGTCTGTTGTTGATCGGCCGACGAAAAACTCGAGTGCACTGTGGTCGAGCAGCTCGCAAAAAATTCATGGGCTAGATGGAATCTTCGTCTGTCGTAATGGATGGATAAATAGGAAATGCGGGGAGCTATGGACTTAGCTTCCAATTCTTATTGTTCGGATCGCAAATGTTTATGTTAACCCGATCCCACTCCCACTCCCAGGCTTGGATGCGGATGATGGCAATATTATGTAACCAACACGTGATAGCCAGCAACTCCGTAGTATATACTGATGATCTGGTGCACGTGTGATGGATTGAAGGAATAAAGCAGAATAATGTAAATTCTCAATTTTCATAAAAGACGAGGGACATTAACTAGTCTACTTATAATACGATTACAATACTAAGCAACCCCCAGTGGCCTGCTGGTCCACTTGTCCAACGACTCCCATCCATACGCCTTCAGCTCATCCCAGTCATCTCCCAGAGAATCGGGCACCATTTCTGCATCCGTTGCAGAATTTTCATCGGGTGAAGATTCGCGGATTCGGGGTATATCAACATCACCGGAAGCGTTTCGTAGAAGTGTCATCAGCGACTTAGTCCAATGGTTGAGATTATCCTCGCACGTAGCAAGCAGATACGCCAAAGGGAGTCGCCGTCTGTGAATCTCCCATGTCTTGGTCTGTAGAATGTGGTCCAGCCACATGTAGATGCCTTCCTTGTACGGATCATTTCTCACGTCTGAGTCGTCCGGCCCTGCTATCTCATTGACCATTTCTTCTGTCAAAACAGCCAAGAAAGCCGGGTGGCCCTCAGAGATAGACTCTAATACAGAATCCCACTTCGAGAAAGTGCTGTCGAGGGATGCCTCGATTCTGTAGAACACTGGCTTAGCGGAAAGGTACGTAGGATCGATCTCCGGGAGAACTCACTGTCTTTCCTTCGGCACAAGCATATTCTCCTCGAGCAAGACTCTCGACAGGACATAAGCCCCCTGGTCTTGATTCCTGCAGATAGAAACCAGTGGCTGAGAGACGAGAGATGCCGTATGCCGGGACTTGATTTTCTTTCGCGGTGGCTCTGCGGTCTCAGTCTGTATCATCGGTTCTAAGCTGTGCCGAATCTCTGCCTGCATCACCGTAAAGTCGTCTTGAAAAGTAGGTTTCGGGACGTTCCCAGAAGGCGCAGCCGTGGGAAGGTCAATCTTGGCCCAGTAATAATCCCACAGCCATTCCAGCGACCGTTGCGCAGCACCTCGCAGGACAACCAGCGAGGGCAGCTCGCGGTGAGTAGCCTCATGGCGCAACTCAACAAATGACGCCGGAAGTCCTAGGTCAACGGCCCTTTGGAACATGGTCTTTCTCTGGCCATGGAGCTTTGAATCGACGAGACCCGTCACAAATCTGTACTGCTATGTTAGAAGAAGAAACAGATATTCCTTCCTGTGGAACAAAAAAAAATCACAGGCAAAAAAAAAGGAAAGAAAATCGAATTACCTGCAAAACGCAGCCGAATACGTAGCTCGAATAGAGAAGATCGAATTCTTAGCCGCATCATCGTGCAAAATAGCATCCGTCAACAAGGCCGTGGCTTCCACCGGATGAGGCAGATTGCCTCGCAGTTTCCAAGCTTCGACCTAATCCCATTGTCGCGATCGCGTCACATAATCAATATTACGAACTCCTAGCAAGAGACAACCCATAATGATACATGCAGAGGTTAAGGATCTCAGACGCACCGTTCGGCATGCATTGGCACGTAAATCCGATCCCGATAGCGGATCAGGGTAGAATTGGCTCCGAACGGCCAGAAGCTCGGAATGGTCTTTCCACGGCGTGAAAACGATCTTTGGCATTTCTTAAAAAAAAATCTTTTCGGGTCCCTTTTTTTTTTTAATTTCACATTGCACTTGCGGCTTTTGTTCGTTGATAATAATAGTAATGGCGCCAATCAGATTTCGGCGCGACAAGGCTGGCTGGCTGAACTTGTCTGTCGGTCGGTCTCCGGGAAAACCTTTACTCCATACTCTGGATGCCTGAGAAATCAGGGCAGGAATCGAAAAGGCCCAGACCGCAGAAGACCAACCTTCATAGTATTTCTCCGTATTCTATAACCGGGATTTGGAACCTTTTACATAGTAACACAAGACTCAGGCGCACTTAAACTGCGCATTATTCTGTGACTACATATATTGGCAGTTAAAACTATGTATTCTAATAAAACAGGAGAGCGAATATGTAATGCCAAATCTTGAAGAATCCAGTCTTCGCTAATCTGCAGGGGTATCGCCCATTTCCCGTACGCCGAAAAAAAAAAGCCCAAAACTCCCATACTATGCAAGTTTGTAAATAATCATCCGAATCATATCGTAACCATTTGTTCCTCAAATCGTTCCGCCATCCAGCCTATTATGTCTCTCCGGCTAAGACTGCATTGTCTTGGCTCTCATCCTCTTGCTCCTGTGTATCATCTTCCTTTCCTTCTTCCTCATCATCTTCGTCGTTATCCGGAGATGGACTGAACGTCTCTTCCAATTTGAGTCCTTTGCCAGCAGTCTCTCGATTTGTATTGCTTCCTCCAAGGAGACTATTCTCCATGGAGATCGTTTCGGGCTCGTCGTAGAGACCCATTCCAATCAGCTCATCGTCTTGAGTCTGAGACTTCGTAGGCTCAGACTGCGGCTCCAAGGTGTTTTTAAATTGGGTAGGAAATACATCTGGAGTAGGGGGTGCCGTGAACTCGTCAGATGACGGGACGCTTTCTTGACCAAGATCCGCTATCTGGCTTGTGGGAAGAGGACAATCGGCGGACAGCGCATCTTGCACCCAGTCTCCATATAGTTGTGAAGGTAGACATGCATTATCAAGCGTACTGGCCGGCCAGCTAAAAGAGTCCATCTGCATCATGTTCGTCGTCTCAGACGAGGTGAACGCCTGGGATACCGGGGTTCCGTAGCTTGCGTCAAGGGGAGAGAAATACAAGTTCGAAATCGAATCTGCAGTGGTAAGGTGCGAAACAGGAGTAGCAAGCCCGTAGATGGATGCCGTGCTGAACGCTTCGGTGGGTTGCTGCTGCTGCTGGTGCCCCAGCTGCTTGCAAGCGCCGTAGTCCATACAAGATGGATAGGACGTCATCATGTAATGGGGATAGCTGGCGTGTTTCGAGGACGGGTGCCAACTCATGGGACGAGATTTCCGCCGGAGAGAAGTACCCAGAAGAGCGGTATCGGCAGGATACTGTTGATACTGCGCCGGGCTATGAGCCATCATGGTCCTCCGTCTGGCAAGAGAGTGAGGGCTATTGCCAGCGCTGATGGGCTTTGTCACCCGAGAGGCTCTTCTCTTGTAAATCCCCGACAGCACCTCATTTGCATTCGCGAGCGACTGGTACGTTTGAAGCTGTTGCAAATTCCAGTCCAAACCGGATGTCGACTGTTGCTGCCAGTAGCCCTCCATATGAAACACCGTTATGAAATGATCTAAAGACAGCATTGTCAGTATATTGACCATGCTGCCACCCTTATGACCACGATGGAGATATCCTTACATGATCTGACGAAGACACTTGTTGAGATCTGTTTCTGGAAACAATAGATATCAGGACTGATAAGAAGTCAGGCAGTATGAGGATATGAATGAATGACCAGTATTTAATAAACAACGGCTAATTTTGCAACACGCAAATGAGTCAGAATTATTTGGCTACAATTTATGACAGAGTATCACGGAAAGAGAAAGTAACCGGAGGATATCATATAGGAGACATCATGCGCCGATACAGCCCCAGATCTGCGGAGCCCTCAAACAGCACATGCTGGATGACATGGAAATGACACTAGCCGGACACGAGTTTAGTGAACCGGTGCGGCTTCTGTAAAGCGGGATACGACCCTTGTTTCGGGACCAGGTGCAGGAATCATAGCTAATCATCGCCTTCCAGTTCCAAACCTTCTTCGCACGTTACACCGCTTACCTAGTTGGAGCTTGGTGGTGGGAACTGGGAAGGGCGAGAGTTTAGAGTATGGGCGCCAAATAAAACAGGCCCATGGCTAAGCGGGCCGAGGTCACAACGCATGGCAGAACTAAATTTGGCCAGGATCTTTTAGTCTTTAAGCCTGTATGGGGCATTATTGGGGGAAGAAGGAGCTCAAGAGAGCCACCCAGAGTTGCCCGGCCTGAGTCTCGAATCTTTCACCCGCCTGCCGTCCGTCGCAGCCTCAAAGGTGGTCGGGTCCCAATTGACGACCATTCCGCAACAGGGAAACCTAAGGGGGGGGCTGCAGTCGTAGTACGGAGTAGAAAACGGTGACTGGCGAACCGCTAGCAGAAGTCATCGCTGGAGTTGCCGCCAGCCTTCCCGATCCGGATCCATCTGCAATTTCAGTTCAATCTCTTTCCTCCGTCCACAGGGCACAGGCGACCCCTTCGCAATATCACGCGTCACATTTTTTTTTGCAAGACTCCAGAAGGTCCAACGTTACGCAAGGGTCACGGGCAACGGCTACCTCTAAGCTGCAGCGACAGGGTTGTAGGTACCCGTTGACGGCGCCAGGGCGAGACCAGAGAAAAAAATAAGAAAAAAAAGCCCGTGCCTTCCCGGCGCTTAGCGCTATGCACGGCCGTGAGCTGCAGAGCGCCCCATGTTTTGGAACGCCCCAGGGAAGAATCCGCGCGCAGAGCGTGGCACACGGACTGTGGAGTGTGGATAGTGAAAGGTGGATCCTGGACTGTGGCCGAAGTCGTCGACCAGGGCTCTGGGAAGCGGATCTCGATAACCTGGCCTCTCAGAAAACTCTGTGCCTCCGTGCTTCCGGCCGCCATCAGCAGAACGAGCCACCGGCGTCAGTCCAAGGCTCTTAGCGCTGTCCGGATCTAATTTACGACACGATCTCTTCTCCGTTGTGGCTTCGTGGTGGAACCTGCGAGTCTGTGACACCGAATCCAGGGTCACCGCATCGCCCTTCCCCTGGCGCCTAGCCAAGATTCCACAAGACAAGCAAAAGGTATGGTAGGTCGCTAGGATGTGGTCACTGGTCAGCATGATTATTTAGCGACGGGGATGGCCAACCTCAGACTTCAGCCGGCGTCCCGTACAGAACTCGAGAAAATTGCGAGTCAGCAAGGCTCATTCGAGGCACGACTGAGTTTGAACCTTGATATGAAAAAGAAAACGACAGGAAAGGAAAACCTGCAGCGGCAGGGTGGGGTTATCTGATCCCACTGCTGAGATGCGCGGCGATGTGACAGGTCCATGCCCCATGCGCCTTCCCTCGGCGGAAAATGCCTTGTGCAGAACCCGAAAGGCCACCGTGTCGCTGCTCCGTCTTCCGTCCTGCCTCACCACCGTCCGTCACGAGTCGCGACTCACGGCACGTCTCTACGACAAACTGCTGGACACCGATATACATCATACAGGTGAGCCGTGCATACATTACCCTTCTGCCTGTCCATTCCTTCCAGCCTGACACCCGAGTCTCGCGGAGCTCTAGGCCCTCATTCCGTCCTTTCCACCCCAGCCCCCTTGGAGCCTTCGGCAGCGGAGCCAGGAGATCCTTGAGCAGACCCAAAATCCCAAATAACCCTTTTTTTCAATAATTCCACGTTTCTGCTCCGTGCATATCATGCTCTACGGAGTAGTCGCTGCGTCAGACACGCTGCCGGGGTGAGCCACGATAATAGTGCTCCGGACCCGGTACGTACAGGGGCTAAAATCTTCCAGAAGACCCGGTCGGCATCCCTAGTGGATCCAGGCTCTGGCGCTCACCAGTGTCGCCACAGGCGGTCAGGACAAGAAAGGAATTGTTCACGCCGCCGTTCTCCAAAGTGGTAATGTAATAAGGGACTGACATGGTTAGCTGACATGCCGTCTCCAACCTTCTCGTGCGGAACGCCCGTCCAGGCCCACACCACTGGAAGCCGAGAGGCAGCATCAGGCGTACGGAGTACATGATACAACTGCTAGCCTGCTTCAGCCTCCACTTGCAGCCCTTGTAACCCTTTCTTTGTCGGCCCTGTGGACTCTGTGGAGCCGATAGCCGGTGGTGATCCTGCTCCGTTTTTATCGACGTTACAAAACATACAGAGCCACTGCGACAACTCATGGCCCCAGGGGGTTGGCGAGCAGCTTCAGGCTTTGACAACAGGTGCCTGGGCAACCACTGTTGGATAGAATTATTGGATAGGCAACGCTGATGGCCTTGATAGTCCAGCTCCATCAGAACAGTCTCTCTGCAATCTGTTGCCAACGCCGTTGGAGTAGATTTGACAACCAAAGCCCACCAGACAACGGAACCTTCTAGCTCGAAACAATCCGAGTCACCATCATCACCAATCGAACTTCAACAAACTAGTGTTACCTTGAAGGTTCAAGAAATCGCCAGACGGTGGTTCACTCCGATAACTCTCTCTACTCGTATAACTCACTCACTCGTCAGGCGACCCCGAAAGGCGTCGCGAAGATTGCCTTATGCATTCGGCCAGATGCGCCCTTATCCACAGCTTATCACTTCCATTCTGGGAATATCGATAAGTAACCAGCCTCCATACGGATAGTCAATCATAATGATGTCAGTCATACTTTGGACGATGTGACCACGCTCAACCTTGACCCCATCACCTAAGTGAATCTGGTGCTGCCAACCGAGACTTTGAGAATGAGCTTAATAATAATGTGATTAAGAACCGACACAGTTCGGAGCAGAGTTCGGTAATGTCATCCTTTTGAATACGGAGTCCGGCGAACACAGCATACAGCGCCCCCACAGCACACGCGGGTCTCTGAGCCCCAGGCGTGACGCAGCGTTGGCATTGGCCTCGTCCGAGACGGAGTCTTCCCAGTTCGTTTGGCCACAGTTCGGAGTAAGCAAGCCAGCCTTTGCGCTCTGCCTTTTCCGTCCTTGCTCAAAAACTAAAATGGACGGACAACGTCACAGCTCGAAATCGACTGGACTACGTAATCTGGTTTTTCCGACGCCTCCTTTGATTGATAGCCCAACTTAGTCTGGACGCCTATTCTAAGACGGTCCAGTTTGATGAAAAGGTTTAAGTCACACATGCAGAAGCCAAATGCACGACGCTTGCAGTGCGTCAGATCCCAACCACATGTGTATAGCAATGATATCGGGAAACAACGAGACTGGAATCAGAGCCCTTGCTGCGTCAGCTGTCGTTTCTCTGCCCACATGACTCGTTGACGAAACCGACTCCATGACTTGTAGGGTGGTCCAGCTCATCCCAGAAGTCGCCTCAGACTTCGCTGCCGATCACTGCGATCAGGGATATTACCAATCCTGCCTTGGAGGCTGGACAGATTCCGTGGTCCAGACTGGAGTGTTGCTTGCAGTTAAGTCAATCCTTGGCTGTCATCGGTCGTTGTTAGGCTTGAGTGTCAACTGTACGGCCAAGATCGAAACTTGATCTTCAGGACCAATAGAAGGGAAAGACGCCGATCAATGATCTTAAAGCCGGCCTGGCGGTCTCAATAATCTCATGACAAAAAGGGCCAGCCCCGGTAGCTAGGCAGTTATTGCCCATGAAGGAACAAGTTGTGCAGTCTAGCCCCAGAACCCGCGGTTAGGGGTGGACTAATCAGCACCTAAGTACGGAGTACCTGGGCACCTAGGTAATTCGAGCGCAAATCTCAGAAATATTATCTCAAGAGGACAGGGGCCGGTCCATTGTATCTGGTGACACCAACGATTCAACAAACGCCCGTTGCAGTTGTGTCTCAGTGGCTGAGTCAGATCACCGGCTTGATTACTCTGTCTGGCATTCTCGGTTGAGTTGCGTACCGCTTAACGACTAGTTAGGTACGTGCTATAGGGGGGCCATGGGGCTCAGGCAGCAACCTAGCAGCCACTCCCCTTCTATTCCGCACCCTAGGCCTATACTCCGTACTCCGTCCAGTATCCCGGATGCTACTCCATCATAGGCCCGTGCGGATTGTTCTCTTTGTCGGCTATTCGAGGCCTATCAATGCTCTCCGACCAGCTACGTAATATCTAGCATTCTATGGACATGCATCGTCGGGTTGTGATGCGATGATTCGGATATTATTTGTTTGTTGCAACTTGAGATGTCTGGTCATGGGCATGAATGTGTAAGCCTCATCATTCCATCTTCCTGTGATCATACCAATCAATCAATGATGGCAGGTGACGACTACTTGTTACGGACGGATGGATGGGTGGATGGAGTTGTGGAATCAGCACAGTCAAGAAAGTTCAGCAGTTTCCGACGCTGATCTCGCCCTCGCTGTGACCCTGACAGACTTTTCAGACACACCAGTCTCGGAAGTTCGACACAGAGCCAACCAGGTCAGTGGTGACGTTGCTCCGTGTTCGAGCCAAATTAATTAAATTCAAAAAGTCGACAGAGATCAACAGAAATCAAGGGCATGAGTCCACGGTGGCAATTATGATTAATTAATGGGGAGCGCCGCTACTGCGGTTATGATGGCTGCTAGTCATTACCGTTAACCACGGGCGATCATGGGCGCTGACGGGGCACGACCCAGCAGGACGCCCCAATGGCAGCCCATGCCTAGCGAAAACAGTTGCACCTTCACTTCCAGCCCAGCCAAGGCCCAACAGGCCGACCCTCGCCTGTTACAGAGTTCGCAGGCACCCCCAAATCCGGCCCTCCGCCCGTGACTCGCCTCCCTTACTCCGTACAGTAGTCAGTGGTGGCACTGTCGGGCTTCGACCAGCTGTCTCGTCAGGCTGCTCGGCTGCGAGTCGCAGTCCCCCGACAATACGATCCTTCCTCCAGCCTCCTCCAGGATCATTTCTTAGCCGTCCTCTTTTTGATCTTCGACCTAATCCAACCAAGCCCCCACCCGCAAAGACCTGCACCCGATACGTCCTCATTTAATTTCTTTTTTTACTTTTTTGCCATCTCTGTTCCTTGCGAACTAACTTTTTTTCCACCGGGAAATCTCTTCAGCCTGCCTAATCCGTACTTTCCAAACTCTCCTTCAGTTGCCGACCAAGACACTGGACTGAAAAATGGCCGCGTAAGACGGCTTTCGGTTATTCTCCGGTCTTAATTAATAGACAAACGGCGCAATTGATGAGGTTTCGACATCGGATCGTCGGCAATGCCGACTTGCTCAGATCCGCCGGCAATCTGCAACACTCTGCTCCGTACTCTCGCAGGACACAAGAATCAGTCATGTGCAATCCAGCTGGATGCTTTGTTGTCAGCTGCTGTGGTTGTGTTATGTCACATTCGTTTCAATGTTCTTATTGACGCCAGCACGACTGCCGAGACTCCAATAATAACAGATTTATTATCCTGGCCCCCGTTGAGGTCAGTCAGCATTTGCAGCAGGCTGCAGCCAAGCGTCTCATTCGCCCATTCGACAAACTTCCGGCGCACAGGGCACACCTTTTCTTGCTGTCCCCAGATCCCACCGGCCGTACGGAGTTAAGATACGGATACGTTCTTATCCTTGCAGGGGTCTTATGCAGTTATCCCTGGAAGAGATGATGACAAGCAGAGCACAGAGTAGCCCGTCCAGAACGTTGGTTGCAGAACAGACCAATAGTTTCCTTGCTTCCAACTCGTAATTTTTCCCGGCTTTGCATTGCACCCTACTCCGTACACCTGCACGGTGACAGTTAGCACCCCTGTCAGACTCAGCCCCTCTATGCGGATACCATCCATGCATGATGATGATGCATCATTGCATATACAGGATCAGCGAGCAAGGGCCAAAAAGAAGGCCTACTGGGTAACAGTGAGTTTGACTATCCCACATATCAGTCACAAGTCACAATTCCTACTGTACCTAGTACTAGGCTGAGTTAATAGTACCTAGGCTAGGTACTTAATACGGAGCGGACTGCTATTAAGATTTAAGTCAATAATAATATTTCTCTCGAGACAGAATCGGCCTTTTTTTGTCCCCCATTATCTGTACTGTACTCCGTATTATCATTAAAGTTACCATTGACCGCAAACGGCATGGTGAAAACGGAAGAGAAAATTTCGCTGTTCAGCTGACCAGCCTGGCAGAGCCTACGGGTACTAATTACGGGGTATTTGCGTTCCTACAGTAGGAAAGAGGAGACTGTAGGACTAGTACTGTACAGGCGTCCGAACGCCAATGGCGTAGGAGCAGGATCAGGCTTCCGCAGGGCTACATGCATGCATGATATGGTATGATATTACTTTCCTACACAGGACTTCGTACTTGCGATTGACGATAATGATATCGACGTTGATTTGGTATTTGTGAGAAATCATCAAGTAATCTATACTAACACAAGAATCGAATTCAGGAGAATAATGATGATGTTGTTATTGATGACGCAGGCCCGCATGGTATCTGCACTGTGAGTTCATTAGGTACCCAATCCTACTGTAAGTCCTAGGCTAGGCACCTAGCCTAACTGCTAGTATGTGGGTTTCTGCGTTGTTTCAACGTAACGAACGGCCTGCATGCAGACGTCCATGCATGGTAATGCTTACTCGAACCTACTACTAGTATTATTACTCCGTATGGTCTGTATCCTTGATTCCTACCTACCTCCCTACCTACCTAGGTAGGCAGGTACTGTAAGTGGATTATGTAGATCTGTGGGCTGTGAATGATGCTGTGGATGGACAGTGTACAGTACATACATACAGCCTATTTATCTCTGCATACAACATACATACATATCTCCTGAGCAAAAGCAATCAATCTACAGCCATCTGCTCTGTCAGCCTGCCCTTTCCTCTCGTTCATATTCATAGGTAAGGGAGTAGCGAGTGCTCGAGCAGAGCATCACTCACCGCACTGATCTCGCGCTACTGACTCCGGTGTGACGACGAGACGAGGAGAGGAGAGGAGTCTGAGCGCTGGCGCAGACACTTACTGTCTGTCTGTCTGCCTGACTACCTGTCTGTCCTGGAGCAAGACAAGACTATGATCTAAGTTAATTATTCTGATCAAGGAACAAGGTACTACTGTGTAGAGAATCTTCTCGAAAAAGAAAGTCGTGAGTTTGAGTTTGAGTTCATAGCCGAGAAAGGAAAGTAATTAATCCAGAAGACAGAGAGAGAAGTGAGAGAGAATGAGAGAGGGGGTGAGGGTGAGAGAGTGTGAGTAGGACTGCGATAGTCTTTCTTTCTTTCTTTCTCTCCTTTTGTCAACGTCAAGGTCTAGGAAGTAAGAACCCTTTCTCTCTCTTGAAAACCAGCATACTGTTTGTCAAACACTTGAGACAATCAAAAGGCAGTAGATATGGATGGAATATAATCGTGAATTAAAATATCAACGCCCACTGGCAGGGCAGATTTGGCCCAGGGCTTATATGTATATGTCATGTCCATGTAAATCAGCATAATAGGGCTTCGTGATTCTGAGAATCTCCGACCTTACTATATATAATAAGGTCGACTTTAGGCCCTGTCAAACTAGGTAGGCGTTCTGATTTCTTCGTTGAAAAAAATGGATCGAATTCGTATGTTCTCTGTATGCGATCTTTCATTTCATTATATATAGATCGTTAACAAGCTTTGGAAGGGGATGTTCCCCAAAAGCAATCAAGAAATATCCCTACCTGAGCAGTAAATATTGACTATATAGGTAGTAAAGTCCACTTTGAGAGGAGACTGAAAGCTATTAGTATCTACCCGGCAGGATGCAGAACACCCAGCGAACACTAGCTTGACAAGACGAAAGACGATCGATTGATGGACTATCAGAGAAGAAATGATCAGAATCAGTGAGAAATCGGACCTATATAATAAACCCAGTTTCGGTCATCGTTTCCGAGCTGAGTGCAGATCGTTCTGTCGACAGGGATGATGGGAGACAGACGATCTATCTATTCGAGTCAAGTCAAAGAAATACTTAGATAGAGATCCCTCTAGCTTAGCTAGACTAGAAGACAACTGACTGATTTGTTACGGAAGATCATATGTAATCTTGAGGAAATATATTCTCTAGGTGATTATAACTATAAGCCTTTAAGAAATTTGTCTGAAATGGTCGACTCGATATGACATGATATGATTCCATTCTCTTTCGTTATCATCTCGAATAACTGACTGACTAACCGCTAGCGGGCTTCACTTCACGGTGAGAACGCTTTCATTTTGGAACTATCACCCTGAATCCAACAGAAAAAAAAAAGAATCAAGGCTTGGAGGAGGAAGTTCGAATATCGAATATACCGAATGTCACCACTACACTATCGTCAGGATAAAGGATAGCTACATAGGAGTAAGCAGCAATTATAACTGAGCCCTTCAAGAAATAGCAGGCAAAGCAAAATGCCTTATAAGATCTTATATCTATGATATACATATACGTGGGAAATCCACCTAGGGAACAGGTAAACAATCAAGACATTTTTTTTACACTTTTTGACGACTAGCTAATACTAAGAATCCCGAAGTTAAAATTAACAAGACTTTTGGCCAAAAAAAAATTGATAGTGCAAGAGGCTCAAATCAGCAGGAATCAATCAAGCCCAAAGCAATAAGCATTTTCATTCCACGCTCCATCTGATTCTGCCTGTCCCCTTCGCCTGCTCGGTTGGCCGCTAGATTTGCAAGTCAGATAGATCTGTGTAGTGCTGGTAGAACTTCATGGGTCAATGGAGTTTGGTGGATTGTCAATCTGTGTCTGTATCTGTATCTATAGACAAACGCCTTTCCTCTCTCAGTGAGAACAGTCAGTACCTTCAGTATACCTCCTCCGGTGATGAATCTCACCAGTCTGTTATTTTTGCTATGGTCGAGGATCCCGCTATTTTTCTAGACAAGAATTTAAATGTCCGGACTGTTTCGAACGGATATCGCCTAGTCTGTATATATCCTGTTAGTTTCGTATACTAAAAGTGGAGATTTGTAATGAAGAGAAGTGGATGCCCAGACATACAATTTTGTAGTCACCAGCTTACCTTGTAAAGTCTGAACATAAAAACTTATGCTTGCTAGCATCTCCCTTGTGACAAGCGTCATAGGAAATGCTTTACACCGGCGTAGTGGCCAGGCACAACGCTATCGAGTTCAGAATCAAGCAGACGGCTGAGCGGTATTAGATGCCTGGATCTGTCAGATATTGCCTGAGCATGAAATAATATCCAGCAACGTACTTCATCGCCTTTGGCTACGTCCTCAGGTTTGGATGGAACAGTTCCTGCATCGACAGTTGTTTTCAGAACGGGCACAGAGCGTGTAGCAATGGGCTGTATCGGGTATTTGGCCGCTGTCTGTTCAGTCCAGGGTACAAATCCACTACCTGACTGCTGAGAGTGAAACGGTGCAGTGGGATTTCTGCAGTTTTCGGTTCGATGGCCCTTCTTTCCACAGTTCCCGCAGGGTGAAAGTCGTGGACAATGCTTTATGAAATGGCCTTGCTCCTTGCAATAGTTGCAGAAGGACTCGGGACATTCTTTTGTTCTATGGGCGTTCGATCCGCAGACGGTGCACCATTGACTGTCTGGGTTGAAGGACATTGCTGCTTTCTCAGATGGCTGTTAATGAGTAGAGATGAAGAAATCGATTGAAGCTAGACCCCAGGAGGAGTGAGTGATGTGTATGAGTATGATAGTCAAATTGAGAAGCCTCTGAGATAACTCTTAGCGAGAAAGTGTTGGCATATAAGCCAAAGTCGTCGATCAGTGAATGAAAGAGAGGGCCTGTAGTCTCCAGTCAGCGTATAGAGAACCCTTCTTTGTTTACATCTCGCAGCTACGGGTTTTCCCGGTGCTTTTATCCTCGTATATTGTTTATGACGGAGCAAGATCGCCACAAGCCCTGGGACCACGCAGCTGACCAAATAATGTAGAAGCTATTCTGACGGCGAAATCCGGTCTCCGACTAAGGACACAATGAACAGTCAAGCTGAAGCTATAGAAATCATCGCAGAAGGTAGCAATATCATGACCGTTTTCCTAATAGATTGGGCGGATGCAACGAGCCTACTGTCTCGGATGTTCAGCATATTCTTTGTATGAGATTAACCGATATAGCAGCTCAGTCAGGCACTAGGACGACAAAAGCAGTGGACGGCTGCGAGCTGCTTCCGAGGCAGCGAGTTCTGGAAGTCAATCGGTTTTAAAATCTAAGCTGTCTTCTGTGACGGGTCCGTCCGGCGATGGTCTGAAACCTGACGGGACATCCCGTACAGAAATATCATGGCACCAGAGGTAAGAACCGGAACGAGGGATCTCTCATTAGGAAAAAAGGATTTGGGAGGAAGTCTCCAGGAGGCAGAAGAGAGGTAACAATTAAGGGGTCGATATAAGACTGTCCAGCTTGGTAATCCAGAGAGAATGCAGGCCCAGGTCGAATGAGATATACCCTCGAAAACAGCAACCAGTTTATCAAGCAATCTTGGTAAGAATCCCATCTAGAGAAGAGATAAAGATGTACATAATGGGTAGAACGTAGGGCTAGAGGTCAAACTGCTGACGTGGTACCATTAGGTAGTCCTTGTCTTCTTTTCAAGCGTGGCAAGACATGAACTTGTTGGGCATAAAATGCAGTTGTAATGTAATTTCTTTTCTTTCTATGGTGAATATCGACAGAATAGATCCCATCAATTCCGTCAATACTGGCAAGACATCAAAAAGGGTTGATGTACGGATTTATCGATACCGACAGCAATCTGAATATCCTCGCATTTATGCAACAACCAGACGATATGCGTTGAGTCTAGAACAGGGACAAAGAAAGGACGAAAACGAATCCAACCTTTGCCTTGGACAATCTTGATTGTCATTAAGAAGAGAGAGAAAAAGAGACAGGGGGGAAGGAAAAATAAAAATAATGGAGGGAGAGGGGTTCGAACCCTCGATCACTTACGTGAAATGCATCGCTTACACCACTTGTGTAAGACTTAAGTGCATCGCCTTAACCACTCGGCCATCCCTCCGCTTTTCGGAATTGTGGGGCTCGGAATTATTCCACTTATGTAGCATGACAGGTACATCCTCTGTGCTCAAGGAAGAAGGCGACTACGAGGTACAAAGAAATGCTGGAGGGAATATAAGACTGATGGGCTTTTCACATCCAGTCTGAGTGCATTTCAGAACAGTAAAAAGAAAGGAGTTGCAAGCGGCAGGGTTCGAACCTGCGCGGGTTTCCCCACTGGGGGTCTAAGCGGAAGGTCGAAGGGGACCCCTGTAAAGGGTCCGACTTCAACCTTGTATTCGCTTAAATCCAGCTGATACGTTCAGTTAGCGATTCGTTGGCAGATGCAAGCTGCAGAAGGTTCACCTACCGCCTTAACCACTCGGCCACACTTGCCTTCTTAGGGTGTCGACTATCTTTGCATGGAAGACGAGCGCCGGAAAAAGTGCAAAGCTGGAGATGAAGATATTGGAATACACGCTCAGTGGATTATCAATATGACCTTCATTCGGCATTTTTAATCAAGTCAAGGTATCTGAGTTGTGATCTGGGTTGTGATAGGTCAACCAACAAAAAAAACAGTAAGAGGGCAAAAAGAAAGGTCATGACAAGGGCGCGATTCGAACGCGCGCGGAGTTTCCCCCATGCGAATGGGCACACACCATGTGTGTACACCGGACTGCTGGGCAGTCCAAGCTATTAGCTTGAGTCGCACGCCTTAGACCACTCGGCCACCTTGCCTGTACCATGTGAGTTCTGCGCCAAATTGTGACCCTCGAGCGATTCCCGAACCGCTCGGGATTTTTCAATCTTCACCTTCGGCTCGGTTGAGTTGATGGCTTGTTGAAAAGAAGAGGAAAGATGATCATGTAAAGACAAAGTAGACAAAGAAGCAGAACTAGGTGCTGGTAACAGCTTTATATTTTCCATCCATTGTAAGACTGATTGATCTGCTGATGTTTTCCGTTATTACATGGGCCATCTTTCTATTCCGATAAGTCCTGTGAAAATCGTATCCTGCGGCGTTAGACAATCCTGTACGCAGCCTTGCGGACATTAATGTGCGTACCAAATATCTCAGGCCAGATTAAAAGTGGCCAGTGGAAATGTGACGTTGTCTATCTTAGATCATTGTGGTGTACTGTACAACTTATTTGGCTATTCAGGTAATCCATATGTGCAGTACCTACAGTAGGTCGAAACAGAACGCAACTCAGTGTGTCTTACAAACTACGGTGTCCAGAAATGGTCACTTTTCGGTGCATTTTAAATAATAGTTCTGTGATAGTACGCCGATTTTTGATGGCGTGGCGATCCATTTGTGGTGATCACAAGAAGCTTCTTGATATGCTATGATTTTATATATTTCTATGCCCCGCAATCCTACACCTAGTTGTTCGAATGAATAATTACACGCAAAACACATAACAAGAAAATCACTCACAACTCCCTGTTTACGCAGAATCCACACAACTTCTCTGCATAGCCGCTGAGAATCCTGAAAGCCGAATCATGTCTCTCTGCTTCCCCATCTGCGTGGAAGCGGGCATGCTGCCGACGTCATCCCCGCACCCAAAAAGTCTTCCGCGTCTAGACCTTTCGTCGGAATAACAGAGCTCCCAACATCATGACCAAGAACCCGCAATAGCAATCGAAAATCAACGAAGCAAACCTGGTCCTCTAACGGCCATGGCACATGAAAGTGGTGGCAATCAACGGTCAGCCGAACATCCTGTATGTCCTACTCTACGTGTAACGTCAATGGACCAAGGCTGACAAGAGTCGGATTGGGAGTGGCATGGAGAGTCGCGCAATGATCCAGAAACCCACAACCAACTCGAAGTAAGTCCTAGTCTCCCCTAACAAACGGCGATCAGCTGTAATTGACCAGCTTTCGTTTCCCCGACAGATCTTTCTCAGTCCAGACAGCAATCATCGTCGCAAGTCCTCACTCGTCTCGTCCGAAGACCCGAGAATCGACCAGCGCAGAACAGACTCGTACGACAGGAACACCGCCTGCTTCGTCCATTCGCTTCTCAACGGTGAATGGGTTGCGCCCGCTGAAACGCTCGAGGATATCGACAGCAGCGTAAGAGAGAAGGGACTGGTCTCGGGCGAGAGCCGTCCCGAAGACAATGACAGTTTGTCGGTCGTCGATCATGCCAGCCGGCTCCCCGAGCAGGGCGCTCCCGCTGTCGTCCACTCACGGCATCTGACAAAGAGGCAGCTGTCCGACATGGCGTGGAATGTTCGCAGGTTGTCGAAAAGGCTGGGCAGTATCAAGCTGAGACTGACAGTCAAGACCGTCTTTCTGGTGACCAAGGTGCACGACGTATCACTGATCAAACTGACGAGGGAGGTGACGCAATGGCTTCTCTCGAAGGACCGATATACCAAATATACTGTCTACGTCGAAGACAGGCTGAAGGACCATCCGGATTTCAACGCGGCCGGCCTGATCGAGGAGGAGCCGTCAGCCGCTGGCCGGTTGAAATACTGGGATACCAAGCTCGCATCAGAGCATCCCCAGATGTTCGACTTTGTCGTCACCTTGGGCGGCGATGGAACCGTACTCTACACAAGCTGGCTTTTCCAGCGGATTGTACCACCGGTCCTGTCTTTTTCTCTCGGGTCTCTTGGCTTCCTGACCAAGTTCGACTTCAACAACTACCAAGAGATACTTACAAATGCTTTTCGAGACGGCGTCGTTGTTAGTCTGCGACTGAGATTCGAATGCACGGTCATGAGGAGCAATCCCCAGCGAAAGGAAGGTGAACCTGGGACGAAAAGGGACCTCGTGGAGGAACTGATCGGAGAGGAAGTGGGGGACTCCTTGACGCATACACCCGACAAGGTCTTTGAGATTCTAAACGACGTAGTGGTGGACAGAGGTCCAAACCCGAGTACGTACCGGTTCCTACTACTACCTCCTAAGGTTGTTACATCTCCGAGCTAACAGAATGCTCCAGCGATGTCGTCTATTGAGCTGTTCGGAGATGACGAGCATTTCACCACCGTCCTGGCCGACGGAGTGTGCATCTCGACACCTACTGGATCAACCGCCTACAATCTTGCTGCTGGTGGTTCACTGTCACATCCAGAGAATCCGGTCATCCTCGTGACAGCAATCTGTGCTCATACATTATCGTTCCGACCGATCATATTACCAGATACCATGGTCTTACGGATGGGCGTGCCTTATGATGCCCGCACAACCTCGTGGGCGAGCTTTGATGGGCGAGAGCGGTTAGTTCTGTACTCTATCGCGGCTATGAACAATTTATTGACAATGGAATAGGGTCGAGTTACATCCGGGCGACTACGTTACTGTTTCTGCATCTCGCTATCCCTTTGCGTATGTTCTTCCTCCCGGACGGCGCAGCGAGGATTGGGTGCAAAGTATCTCGAAGACCTTGAACTGGAATTCAAGGCAAAGACAGAAGGGGTTTAGATGATTGCCCTTTCTATTGACAGCATACTGTGCAATAATGAGTGATGATATAATAATTTCGAGGATTTACGAGACATATGGCATTCGCATTTTTACGTAGCAAGTCACGGGTCTTTGCATAGAACCTTAGAGAGATGGGTCTAGAATTTTTGCCCAAGGTGTCCAACAGGAAGTAATGCTGTCAGCAGGAAAGGCTATATGCTAATGCATGTACTTTGACGTGAAGTCATCTTTCTTCTCTTCATTCTCTCTTTGGCATACAGTGGAGAAAGAAGCGGAGACCCTGCTCTCTAGAAGTTTCCTGTATGTAGTTTGGGCTGTTTGGCGGTTTCCCGGGAGCTCTCCGTCGCGCGGCTATAAAAGGGTCCGCCCGCACCAGAAATTTTAAATTTTTTCTTTCCAACTTCCAACCACCTTGGAACCGTCAACATGAAGACGGCTTCAGCAGGAAAATGTCTTGATATGCCATTAGCTTCAGTTCGACTTGATGATGACGACGATTTATTTTACAATCTGTTTTCTTATGACTGCAGGTTGTTGAGTACTAACCCTCCCATCTGGTAGTGATCTTTTTTTCTTCTTTTCTCTCTTCCAAACCACCGTAGGCCTAGCTCATGGCCTACAATAATCCAAGTTTTTAATGTGAGTTATCTCGTTTCTTTTTTTTTCTGCCCTCGTCAGAAATTTTACTCCTATGATGAAACTTCCATTTCCACATTCGCAGTTTCCACGCTAGCCGTCGCTTTGCCGAACCCATTCCAGACGTGCTCTGTGCGCAAAACTTCCTTGGATGTCTGATCATGTTTTCACTTGTTTATGATGCTTCATTTCACGGCTCGTTTGGGTTGAACGAGGTGCTAACATGTTGGAAGATTCTACGTAGGTTTTCTTCTAGAGGTGACGGCTCATCGAGCACGTGAGATATAGTGGAAACAATTGTGTTCGGTTCTAATGGCCTTTTTTCTTACGTGGATGGAAAGTAGCTCACCTGGTGCTGTGTTTCGCTGTCACAGGTGCCAGGCTTGAGACTACCACAGCCCAAAGCTCTGCCATTGCGTCAAAGAACTCCCTGTCTATAGTTTTAAGATTTCAGATCGCGAATTTCAGCGAATGAAATGCATATGGGTTGCATCTTCAGAAATTTTCCTTTCAGTAGTAACTCGAGTAGGCCTGGCGAATACTTGTTCGTAAACTAAATCATCTCGTCCGTGAAGTTTTAACTGTAGCCGAATCACCGAAGATGTAAACTGTAATAGTAAATTTTTGTCCAAGCTGTCGAGTGTGGACGAAGCGAGGTAGTAGATACTGTGCTGTGCATGGCTGGCTGTTTGCTCCACCGGACGGAGTTTGGATCCAACTGTGCCCGACGGCTGTCAGATCGCGTTGGTCAGGACGGAGTAACCTCGTGGCATAACTGTACCTTCGCGCATTGTTTCGCAAACACAAGAAAACCCCCGAGTTCCTCTCTCGAGATTGCTACCGCGATTATCCCGTGCCTGATATTGAAGCATTGGCATTATCTCGCTCATCTCGTCGTTATCCACACTGCCTTCGTCCTCGGCATAACGCCGCGAATAGCACCACATACACTAATTACTATACCTCCTACAAGAGACAGATACAACTGAAACCAAAAAAACGCACGAAGGAATTGCCAGAGCTATAGACAAACAATCAATCGATTGGCCGACAGTCATGTCGTCATCCGCCTCTCCGGCGAGACGACCGTCCACAGTCTCGATCGCCACGACCGCCTCCAATGCTACAGAGAAACAGCAGCAGTACGAGCAACAGCAGCAACAACAATCCACACGGCAGAGCCAGCTCATTCAGCAGCCCGGCACGGGTCTGCGATTACCGTCGAACCGCAAGACCATCTATGATCGACATCTCAACCGAAGTCGCAATGCGGAGTTGAGTCGGGCCAGTTTCGCGTACATCTTTGCGGAGATGGTGACATATGCGCAGCGGAGGGTGACAGGCATACAGGATTTGGAGAGACGGTGAGTCTTTTTCTCTTTCCCTTACTTCGCTGGATACGATTGTGCTGACGATGTTTTTTGATTTTAGATTAAACGAACAAGGCTACCCCCTCGGTCTCCGCCTGCTAGATCTCCTCTTCTACCGCTCCACGACGTCGTCATCGTCGTCGGCGCTCTCGTCCTCGTCGACCTCATCCTCCCCGCCAAACCGACCCCTCCGTATCCTCCCGCTGCTGCATCTCATCCACGGCCCGCTCTGGCGTCTGCTCTTCAACCGGCCGGCCGACGCCCTCGAGCACTCCGTCTCCCCGCAAACGCCAAACGAGTACATGATCACGGACAACGACCCGCTCGTCAACACCTACATCAGCGTGCCCAAGGAGATGAGCATGCTCAACTGCGCCGCCTTTGTCGCGGGCATCATCGAGGGCGTCTGCGACGGCTGCGGCTTCGAGGCCAAGGTCACGGCGCACAATCAAGGCACGGAGATGTGGCCCGGCCGGACGGTCTTTCTGATCCGGTTCGGGGACTCGGTGATGGAGAGGGAGAACCTCCTCGAGAGGGCGGGAGTGAAATAAAAATAAAAAAACAAAACAAAACAAACCAAGTTTAATCGCCAAGATAAATTGATAACTTTCAAAGAATGATCTCTCTCTCCCCCTCTCTCGTCCAGATTTCTCGACTTCATCACGACACGCTCTGCGCTAAGAAATACGAAAAAAGAGACCAGCTTACACAGAGCAAGACAGAGGCAGGAAGAATACAATAAGTACTGCATGACAATGACATGTGGATGTGGTGACGTGACTGTCATCCTAATCCTACTATTGCTGAAACGGAACGAGTATCATCATGATTATCTTCCCTCCTGGCATTCACGGCGAGAGCAAGAGAGAGAATAGAATTGGACGGAGGATTCCTTGGAGTTAATTAATCCTGGTCAGGTCACCGAATGATCCTTCTTCATGTCTACTTTCGTCCATATGGAAGTCATGTCAATGGGGTATTTATTTATGTATGTATTATTTATGCATGTCTGTATGTATATGGATTATTACGGACCTCAACCTGATTAATTATTTAATCTCGATTCAATTCCATCAATCGAGACAAGTTTCGTGCATATAATATATCATTTACAAAACCCTAATAATAATCATAATAAAGAATCGTTTCTTCCCAAGCATGTGTATAATATGAACCCATTTCTTTTTTTTGGATATACCCCCCAAACTCCTAAGAAAAGGAAAAACCAACCATGCATGCATATGCGCATCTTTTGTGGTAATCCGAACTTATCGTGCAGGAGAAACGCTCTCTACTCGCCGGCGTTTGTCCCGGTCAGCGTAAGGCGAAGGGCTTCGTTTCCTGTGACTCCGCTCATCGTCGCGGTATCGGTCTGCGTAGCGGTCTTTCCGCCGGTCGTCGTCCCGGTACCTGTCTCGATCACGATCACGATCCCGATCGTCGTAACGTGAATCTCTTCGGTCGTCGTCTCTGAACCTGCTCTTCTCGCTGTAGCGGTCTCGTCTGGGAGAGTAGGATCGGGACCTCGACCTCCGTCGTGGCCGTGACTCTGATCGGGATCGTGACCGACGTCGATCTCGGACGGCACTGGCATTGGCGCCGGTAGGACCTTTGTTGCGATCGTCCCGGCGGTGATCTGGTAGGAATCGCTCGTCGGTTACACCAAGGGGCTTTTCGTTCCGGTTCCTCCTCGGCGGGATGTCTAATAAGCCCTCGCCCCAGCGTCCCGTGTCTTCTGTTCGGAGATCCTTGTATTTCGTCCGTCCTTTCCTTCCCAGTTTGGTCATATCACGGATCTGCATGTATTGCGGCAACGTTTCCCGGTTGACATCGTCCACGAACTTGGCACCCATGGGATTCCTCTTGTCCAAGCCTTCCCGCTCGAGCTCGTCCCGGAAGAAAGCACCCTTGTGAAAGTAGCGCTGCATGAATCCGGCCTGGCCACGAGTGGCTTCCCGTTCTTCCTTCTGCTTCTCGAGGAACTCGCGGTCTTCGCGCTCTCGTTCCTCGGCAGTGAGGTTTCGTCTTCGCTCGATCTCTTCTCGCTCCTTCTCAGCAGCTTCGATCGCTTCACGCTGGCGCTTTATCCGCTTCAGCTCTCGGAGCTTCCAGGCTGCGTATTCCGCTTCCGGGTCCAGCCCGTCACGGTCGTCGAGTGCATCCTCCTCTCCAGCAATCGGGTCGTCCTCGTCCCAAGCTTTCTTTGCAGCGGTCCGGGCTATAGCCTCCTTCTCGAGCTGTTCTCGAATAAGCATGTCGGCCTTTTCTTGCCGCTGCGCTCGTCGCGCTTCTGCCTCAGCTGCAGAGTCCGCGGTGAGGGCTGAACCAGCTGTTGCCGATCCATTGGCAGCATTTTCCGCTGCTTCTTTTCGTTTATCCTTCTTGATAAACGTAGGTCGAAGAAGAACCCTCTTCGGAGCTTCGTCTTCCGAGCTTTCTTCTTCCTCACTCTCTTCCTCTTCCTCTTCCTCCTCTTCTTCTTCACTCTCCGGTTTAGGGGCAGCAGTAGTCGGTTTCTGAACTGCCACCGGCTTAGGCGCTTTCGTAGGTTCCTCCTCGATTTCCTCCTCCGTCACGAATCCCTCTTCGTCGTCATCTTCTTCTTCGATTTTAACATCCTGGACACCCTTTGTAATCGTTCCGGTAGCAGAACTTGGAAATGAGGTGGCTTTGGGGGCTGGCCGCCTTTGCTGCTGCTGCTGCTGTCGCCGCTGCGCTTTCTCCTGTTTTCGTCGTTCCTCTTCCTCGGCTTGGATATCGTCTTCGTATTCATCGTCGGAGGACGGCTCCTCAGCAGGCGCTTTCCCAGGACGGTAGCGCTGGACAGGCCTGGAGGGATTCGCGGTCATGCCGCGGTGGGTGGATGGAAATTGGGGAGGCATGTTGACGGCGTTGAAGACCGCGACGGGCGCGGTCTAACTTAACGACTCAAATCTCAAATTTGTGGTGATAAACTCCAGTCTCCCCAAATGTGTTGACAGCACTATTTTGATCCTTTGTTGGTGCGCAAATGGTGGCTTTCTCACGTACTGGGTTTTGTTCGCCGCTCTCTGTCGGGAGCGGAGCTCTGCCTGTCGATTATCTTTGCTTCTTTTGGCGCAGAGCTTCTGGTCACGTGATCGATATCGCTGCCACTCACCTTACAGGTCAGGAATTCCCTTTCTCCCTCTTTTTTTCTCTCCATATATCTATTCTCAAAGTCGATAAAGCATTCCCTTTTTCAACGGCATTTTGAAACAATTCGCATAGGTTCGCTGTATAGAGATATTTCCTAATACGGCAAAGTAACACCCACCGAGCACGTGATAACGCGTCTACGCGGACGCGACCAACAATCAATTGCGGGAACCCCGCTCGTTCAGTAATTGTTGGGTCTCCATATGAAGACGAATCTAGTCGCACGCCCTGAATTTCTTCTTTTGTTCTTATTCGAGCAATAAGAACGTATCATTTCTGTCTTGATCTATTTTTTTGTTTGCCCGTTTCTCTTCCTTTCCTTGGTTCGTCTGTCGTCCGTCAAAGAAAATCTCAAGTTGAATACGATAGATAACTCGCGCGAGCAAACGGGCTGCAATACGTCCAAGCATACCCTCAAGCCAAAACTGCTTAATTAAACCGACGCCAAGGAATTGTTAACACATCATGTCCCTCCAAACCCCACGCGTCCTCCCCTCTCACCTCCACGCCTTCCACCCCTCGAGCAGCGGTGGCGGCCCGCGGCCATCGACCCAGACAGTGCGGTTACTCGGGACCGTGACGGCCCTCCGCGGCGAGACGGCGACAATCACATGCGGAAACCACGGCGACGTGACGCTGTTGCTGAAGCCGGATTCGCATCTGCAGATGGGGAAGCTGGTTGAGGTGGTGGGGAAGGTGACTGAGCTGGACGGCGGACAGGTGAGTTGGAGAATTTTCGAACATGTCCAACATAGGAAGCAGGGGAGAAAAAAGAGTCTGACATGGACATATTTCTTACAGGGTCTCGGCCTGCGTGTCCTGGGATCGATCGATTGGGGTAACCCTGCTAATTGTGGTATGTACTGCACTTCTTCTTTCCATCTCTCTCCTCCCTCTCTCATCAGATGCTTTCACAGCAGCAGCAGAAGATGCAACAGAAAGCAAAAGACTAACTCAATAATTTCTTCTGTCTGTGCAGATTACAAAATCTACGAATACGTCGTCGACGCGACTCACCGACACAAAGAGATCTTTTACGACGCTGGTTATTAATGAAATGCCGTTTTGATGGAAATAAGAAAAAAGCGATCTCTGCAGTTGTGTTATTATTACTTACTACTGGGGATTGGGAGTTGTACTGTACGTCCATCAGATTTCCGAGGGAGGGAAATAAAAAAGACGAAGGTAAAGGCGAAGATCAAGCATGAACCTCTAGAGGGTATATGGTATACACACCCTCTGTTAATCGTCTAAAAAGCCATGCATGTATTGCTTTTTTCGAAGGCTTGCGTCGGATCTACATAGCCATGTCATGTCGCGTCATGTCATGTCATTTTCATGCTCAGGGATTCTGTATGATAGAGCGTTGTTTTTTTCCCTTTTTACCTCTTCCATTTCAATTCCCATCTTGGCTGTTCTGCTCTGAATTGAAGAAGATAGGTACCCTCATCTATCTAGTCAGTAGGGGAAAAGAATCAAATAAGCGTTTTAGATTGTGAGTGTGGAGTTACTGCGTAGATTCCTTTTTTAAATTAATCCCTCTTCAACTATTGCCTTTATTTCTTTTCATCTGACAACCAGCTAGGAAACTAAGCAAAGTAACGACAACTGGTCAGACTTCTCTCTCTTTCAGAAATAGCAGTCACTGTCGTCGTAGACGAAGTGGTTGTGTGGTTGGCTGGTGGTCTTCTATGCACACTACATGCAAGACCCTCTCTCGAATGAGTTAACATGGCAACTGCATCGCATCATTATAAAAAGAAACAAATCGAGCTCTCCAGACAGGTCACGTCACAGTAAGCAGGAAAATTGAAAAGAAAAGACACTTGGAACACCCCCCTCTATACCTGCTTAAAAAAAAGATCAAAGCGAAAGTCAAAATCGCAGCATTAAACCATCCAACACCGACGCTTGTAAAAAACAAAAGACCGAATTAATATAAAATATTAGAAAAAAGGCCGTCAATGAGTAATGTCATGAAAGAGAATGGGGTGGTCATTTGCTGCAGGAAGCTGAAGCCTCGACTTCGCCTCCCTTTTGGTTGTTGGTGTTCGATGTCACTCCGAGACCCGTCACACCAGAGTTCCCATTGTCAGATCTGAAAGCGTCCGACTCCAGGCCGGTACAATCACCGCCGAATAGGAGAGAATTGAATTCAGAGTTACGCATGTCCCCCTTGTGCATATCGGGGTCAGATAGGATGGCGTTGATAATATCTTCAGAGTCATCACGTGTCGTGGAATTATGCCGCCGCCGCTGCGCAGTGCTGTTTTCATCCGTGTCGGATTCGATAGGAGACACATAGTCGGACGGTTCCCAATCGGCCCAGTTACCGCTGGGACATTTTGGCGGCTCGAAATTAAACAGCGAATCAGTCTGACCAACAGAATCTCCATTTTCATTGAAAATGTCCATCATAATGCCATTCATCATTTCCTGGGTCCCTGACCGAGGAGTACCGCCAAGCGAAGGGAGTTCCGGAATGCCGTCTTTGTCGTTTCTCTCCCTACGAGGTGTGGTCGCCGCACTGCTTGTTCCTTGTGCGCGCTGGAGTTTCTCCATCGCGAGTCTGGTCGGTGTAAGGTTTGGGTTCCCTTCCTTTCCCTTCTGGGCTGTTGGGGAACAGAATGGCAAGGAAAGCCTCTTCTCTGTTGAATTCCCTCCGCGAGGGCTTCGCCGCTTGGGAGTCGGCGTTGAAGGAGGTTCGAATTCAAACGAGGGACTTTCAAAGAGGCCGTCAAGATTATCACGAGTAGCTGGAGCCTGATTTTCCTTGTCTTGTGCTGTTTTCTCGGAACCTCGTGAAGCAATTCGCGGACTTCGTCGCGGACTATTCGTCAGTGAGTCCCCTAGAGTCTTCAACGGCCCTTCATGAGCACTTGGAAACAAGGTCCTTCGGACAGGCTTAGGCGTGAGGTTATTGTCGTTCATCTCAGCGTTCTGAGATGCAGGATTGCGTGCAGGGCTAGACTGGATAGCCCGTCGAAGTGCTTCTATCGCGTCGTGCTCCTCCCACCGACCCTGCCCGGTTTCCGTTGTTCTCTGAGGCTCTACGCTGTTCGCACGCCGCCGCTTTGATGGGGGTTCTTGAACATCGTCTTCATTGTCGTTCTCAGCACGAGGGGTAATCCCATCATCTCCAGCAGGCGATGACGCGTCTGTTGGGCCGGGGGACGATTCTGCAGGTTTATTTGTCTGGGCCTTGCTACGGCTCCTCGTCGCTGTGTTGCCGGCGCCGGAGAGCGGTCCCTTTCGGTTCCGTGAAGACCGCTTTCGCTTGTCTTTCGGCGGTTGTTTGTTCCACTTATTCTCTGGCCGCATGGTCTTGAATTTGTGGAGCCACAGACCGCAAGCTGCAGTCCGACGTTAGGCAAAAAATAGACAACGGAGGGGAATCATGTAATGAAGTTAACTTACGATTGCAGAGGAGGATCTGGACAAAGTCATTGTCCGTATCCGCCAGCGTCTTCTTGTAGATTTTGAATCGGGTGACTCTGTCCTCTTCATCCTTCTCCAAAACCTGCCAGAACAACATTAGGGGATCTTTTGCAAATTCGTTCGCGTCCTGCTCATTGCCATCAATTTCCTTCGACCAAGCTCTTCTCCATGTCGGCGTTTCAATGGCACCACAGTTTTCGCAATATGGTGGAATCTGTCCCTCCCGGATACATTGATCAAGACGCGCCTGAACCTGTCGCACCCTCCTCGCACCTGCTCCACTCCGAACTTTTCCCTCCTCCACAGGCTGTGGTGCTGGCGTGTTCACGGAAGGAAGATCACTCATGGGACCCGCCCACGAATTGGAGTGTTGTAGGTATCCATTTGGCGGCAATACAGGATCACTCGCGGGGATTGAATTCATGAGCTGCTCTAGCTCGCTTTGCGACATAGGAGCCGGAGCCAACGGCTTTGGTGGCTGTCTGACACTTGCCCTCGATGAAGGTCTGGATCCAGTGGTCGTCCGGGGAGGAGGAAGAGACGGGGGAGCTGTTTCCTTCGCGGGTGCTTCGAACGCTCCATCACTGGCCAAAAAATTGTCGTGATGGTGCCCCGAAACAGATGGATTGACAGGAGAGGTTCCTTGGATTGCCGAGTCTGCCATGCGCTCCTCTCTCGAATTCTCGTTCGAGTTCGTCCGCCTGCATTCGTCCAAGGGCGTGCCTGCGTCTTCATCCATGTTCGTCCTTGGGCAGCCATCATCATCCAAGAGTTCCTCGAGGGAGGCGCTCATGAAGCCGGAGTCGGGCTGCATTGGCAATGGTGGCAATGCAGGGCTGGATCGATTGGGGAACCCACTGTCCATGACAGGAGGGGAAGACGGCATGTTGAATTGTGGCTCAAAGATACCTTGGTAACGCGTTTCGTCAGGCGACGTCGCTGGATGTTCGGTAGAGGGCCGCTCATCGCCTGTCGCATATGGAGACCTATATGATGTATTGCTTCGGCTCGAGGACTCACGGAGAAGGCTCGGGCCTGGACGAGTCCGGCGGGGAATATCACCAGTCGAGCGAGTTATCGGAGTAGGTGGACGGACAGGCTCCTCATTGTTGGGGTTTTGGTTGGTGGACGAGGTGTTCGGAGTTGGACGATGGATGCGAACTGAAGCTGCCGTGCTGGCTGCCACACGCAATGACCCTGGTTGCCTTTCGATGTTCATGTCCTCTTTCGCTGTCCATTCCGCTCTGAAGAGTTTTGCTCTCTTGCGCGGCTGCTGTTCCATCGACTCCTCACCGCTACCATACCCAGACTGCATTGAACCCCGGCGTGCAGCGGCTACTGGAGGCCGTTGAGATTCAGGCTCACGTGTGGAAGCCCTAGATGATGGCCGGAAAGACGCTTCGCTGTCTCTCCTCCGGTGCGGTAGCGGGTGTTGCTGTTGTGGCTGCTGAGTTGGTGGCCGGACTCCGTTCGGAGTTGAGCCCCGGCTCGGGGGAGGCAGAGGGGATTGGCAAGGTGAGTCTGGACGATTCGTGGATGGAAACTCTCTTGGGGTCGAGCTTTCACTCAGAAGCTGGTGAAACCTCTCGATCCCGGAATGATCCATGGACGAGTTGGGACGGTCTGTTAACTGGGCACGGTTGCCGGAAGCGAACAAGTTGGGGTTCTGTTTAATGAATGTAGTCCATGCTTGAGCATCAAAGTCCTGGGGGATAATGTTGCTCAACTCCCGGTACTTCTGGATGCTCTCGAGATATTCACTCTGCAGGACTGTTGGGACTGGAACGAGTCGAAGCCGGACCTCCAGGGTCTCCTGTGCACCCTTTGAGAAGAGCCCCAAGACATTCTTGCAGACACGCCCGGTCACAATGGGCCTCGACTGATTGGCAGATTCATTTGACGAGGGAGAAGCGGAGGCTAGAACCCATGACAGCATCCCCTGGCCCACCAATGGCGTCTCCTGCTCTGAGTAGTCATAGGCGTACACCGTGTAATCCTGGCCTAACTTGGCCACCAATTCCGGGCTGTTGTGCACGATCGAAAGTTAATGACGGCTGCCTAAGACGGAAATAGGGATCTGAACACACCTGGCAGATACGATAGCCTGGATACATGTCTTGAGATCAATGACTCCGATTTGTGTTTTCTCATCGAGGTACGTGGTCTGCACGTCGAGTAGGTGAGGCCATCGGGCAAGGCAGTTTGTTTTACTCTCGTCATCGAACGTGTAGAGCACCTTCACTGCACATTGTAAACGCACGGTTTAGGGTTCTGTCATTTTCGTAGCAGAAAGGGGGGTTCGTACACCTCATAGGGCGGACGGATATACCGTCCTGAGCTTCCATTGCGACCAGGTTGATTGGGATGCCGTCACCATAAGCCGAAGGTCTTTGAGGGTCCTAAAAGCATATAGGCGAGATAAGAGGGTTTTGTATTGTGGGAGTAGTCGATCCAGGTGTAGACGTGTCCTAAGGAGGTCCCGTTGCTTTTGACGTGTACAATCCTACGCGAGGCGTACCACCCAAGGGTGAAGATCGGTTCGGACGAGTTAAACTGGCCGATCGCGGTAAGAGCCGTCTGCAAAGTGAATATTGAGTCCCTAAGCACTAATCTGCAAGGTAGAAATGCCGTCGACTAGGAGAATGGAGGGTATGCAGGCGCAGGTTGCGGTGGTATCGAGTGGACCAATGTTGATCTGGTATGCAAGTGGGTTCTCGCGGACTCTGTATAGGTCGACGAGCAAGGGAGAATATGAGTGGTAGAATAAATAACTGCTTAAGTGATGAGAGGGAGAATGACAGGAGGAAGAATCCTCGGCCAGGCGTCGACCGCGTCCTGAAGGCAGCGAAGATCAATTGCTCGAGGGAGGCTGGGAGAGAGAAAGAGAGAGGAGTCTCGTTTGAAGTAATGATGATAACTCGTGAAGCCGAAGCGTGTCTTGCGCACGCGACGTGACGCAGCCAATCGCGGTCTCGGGAAACGCAGCACGCCAAACACGACAAACACGCTCGTCATGTGACCTTGTTCGGCCGTGGTCCGCGCCAAGCCTGCAATGGCCGATCCGCGCGGCTGGCAGTCGATTGCAAAAGCGAACAGTCGAAGTCGCAACGGACTTGGATCCAAGCAGCTCCCAACCCAGCACCACAGCGCCTTTTATACCTCGCCATGTCGGACACCAAGATCCAGTATGTGTCTACGTAACCCCTCCCTGTCTTCACCTGACTGTGCGCAGTGATGAGTCATAGGCTCACTGCGCAACCCTTGTCGATGGTATCTCGCAGCCTTGTTGGAAGAAAGATGACGCTAACCATGGACACCTTACAGAGATCTTCTCAACAAGCCTCGCAGCGAGCTCACGTACGTGTTCCTTCATCCCGACTTGGCTCCATTCCCCGCTTTCCCCTGTTCCTGTGTGGCCAGGCTATGTCCGGTGTTATCGATTTTATGCCAGATATCATTCGCATATTCTACAACCGCCATCCTTCTATCATAATTCTTTTCTGGCAGTCTCGCAGTCACGCGATTTACTATTATTTTTCTTGGCGTGGATAAATTACTAATGCACTTGTTACTAGTGAATATGAGGTCGCTCTGGTCGAGGAACATGAGCTTACAGCAGGCCCCCTCTCGCTGCTGCAGACGGCCACCCGCACCCACACACAGGTCCTGATCTCGTGCCGAAATAACCGCAAACTGCTGGCGCGGGTCAAGGCTTTTGATCGCCACTGCAACATGGTGCTCGAGAACGTCAAGGAGATGTGGACGGAGAAGCCCAAGGGTGGTAAAGGCCGCGGAGTCAACAAGGACCGATTCATCAGCAAGATGTACGTTTGCTGTCGCTTATTTTATTTCTGATCATCATGACCCTACCCTACCAGCTATTTCCTAGCCACGATCCAGAGTTCTGTTGCATGCGATGCTAACGAGTTCCTCTCAGGTTCTTGCGTGGTGATTCGGTCATCCTGGTCTTGCTCAGCTGAACGTGTTTCCGTATTAGCAACATTTGCAACACTTCATGCCGATACCATCTCGTCCCATCCATCTTCTCCGCTTCTGCCTAGCATGACTTCACAATGTGGCATCATGCTCTGGCTTCGTGTCACGTGACAAAGCAACCAGGCCTAATCTTGATACCATGCCATCCTTTTCTTCTCTCAAGAACGTCAACCAGTTCTTTCCTGTGTCTCGGCTATCAGACTCGTGTTATGAAGTCACGAACGGCATCCATCCTCCTATTACGACACATTATTGCGCAACACACGAACGAGAGAAAGGAGTTCAATTGTTTTTCTCATTTCGACATCTCGCGTGGAATTGAACGGGTAAAAGGGAGAAAAAAAAATGCGAAAAAAAAGTTGGCGTTCTGATGGAACCAAATCCTATCTATCATGTGGTTATGTGGTGGAAGAAGGGGGGATACGATCCCTTCTGCTTTTTCTCAGCAGCAAAGAAACAAAAAATTCCTAGCTCTGTAATGTAATAAGACCACATACATAGATCGATCAAAGGGAAGATTAAAGAAAAAAATCTGGAAAAAAAATTTAATAAAAAAAAAGACTGGAAAGTCAGAACCGAATTAATTATTTAATTCCATGTAGACATATTTAATTAAAACATATTTAATTAAATAATGGCTAAAAGAATAATAATATCATTGCTCTTCGCTATTTACTTGCTTGCATGATTACTTGCTAAATACAGAGAGCCTGACAATATTATGTACGGAGTACGGAGCATGGAAATGGAAATGGAAATCGAAAATCGAAATTATGTTACATGCATTCATTCATTCATTCATTGTTCGTCACGTGGAGGGAGTATTGACGTAGATAGAATAATATAATAGATAGACGGTCAGGACAATACCTAATCCAAAATGAATCAAATCAAACACGAGAGAAGGAACTCAACTCATCATAATCGCATCGTGTCATCCAAAACTATACACACAAACATACACAAAAAAATCATTTTATTTACTTGTGCTTATATATTGAAAAATTATTGTTATCGTATGGATTTATTAAAGGCTGTCCGCTAATCCGCTCAGGAACTCGGACAATCCGTACGCACCGGGGTCGGGGATCTTGCCCAGCCATTCCTGCTCGCCGCCCACGTAGACGGATCGGCCCAGGCTGGCTTTCAGGTGCTTGGTGGCTTCGGTGCCCTCCAGGGCGGCCTTGGCCGCGGCGTGGACATCCTTGGTCTCGACGAGCTTGGTGCAGAAGGGCGCGAGGGCGTCGATGAGCGTGCGGTCGCCGACCTGGGCGGGCGTGTACTTTGCCAGCGCGCCCAGAGAGTACTTCAGCGCTGCGGCCCAGGTCTCGACCGTTACGGGGGTGGCAGCAGTGCCCTTGTCCTGCTCGCGCAGGCCGTGGGCCAGCGCGTTGAGGAAGATGGCGTAGATGGCGCCCGAGGTGCCGTCCATGGTGTTCTCCACCACGTTGACGATCTTGTTCACGGCCACCACGGGGTCGTCGCCCAGGTCGCCCTTCTCGAGCAGCGACAGGACGGCCTCGGCACCGCGCTTGAGGCCCACACCGCAGTCGCCGTCGCCGACGATGGTGTCGTAATGGGTTACCTGAGGCTCGGCCGCAATCATGCGTTGCAGTCCAGCAGACAGGCTCTTCTTCAGGAGGGCAGGGTCGACTGTTTGACGACAAAATTAGCTGCGAATCTTGGAAAAAAAAAGGTCTCTAAAGATCTCCAAGCTTACCCTTCAAGTTGCTTGGCTGCTCCTCGGCAACGACAGTCTTTTTCACCTGCTGCACAGGTGCGTCGGAGCTGTGGTTGTCCCAGGTGGACGTCTGGATTGGAGCCGCCCAGCCAACAGCCTCAGCCGGGGCATCCAGCAGCTCCAGCAAGGACTTGCCTGGACCGAGACCGGTGTCGACGAGCTTGAGGAGCGAGATGCTGAAGCCCAGGCCGTTGAGACTGGTCAGGAACGTGCCCTGGATCGTCCGAACAGGCTTGATGTTGTAGTCCCTGGCCAGCTGTGTGGACACTTCGTCCGTGATGCCAGACAGCTCCAGGGTGCTAACTCCACCCAGGTTGTTGATCAGCAGAACGAATTTGTCGTCGGGCTTGCGCGTGATGAATGCGCGGTCCTTGTCGTTCTCATCCAAGAGCTGCTTGAGCATGGTCTTGATCAGGTCTTCCAGACTGGCTCCCTTCATCCGGTGGGAACCAGGCTCGTTGTGGATGCCCATGCCGACTTCCACCTCATCCGCCGGCAGCAGCTCTTCCGTCGAGGGGACTTGACGTCCGGGGATGTGGACATGCTCCAACGACGAGCCAAGAGAGACAATGTTGTCAGTCGTCAGCTGTGCGATGCGGTAGACATCTTCCAAGGAGGCACTGGGGAGCAGCAGTCAGTCAACAATTGACAAGGTTTCAATAGATACATTGAGAACACCTACCCAGTCTCTGCCAATGCGCCAACAATCTTCAAGACCAGGATACCACCTCCGATACCGCGTCGACCAACTTTACCACCCTTGCTACGGCCCACTCCGACGTCGTCGCCAATGGCGAAAAACTCGGTCTTAATGCCAGCCGCCTTGGCCTTCTCGGCGGCCATACCAAAGTTGAGCACGTCGCCGGTGTACTTCATGGGGATGAGGAGGACGCCCTTCTCGGAGTCGACATACTCCATGGCAGCCTTGCGGATCTGCTCTGCGGAGGGAGAGGCAAAGATGGATCCGGCGACTGAAGCCGTCAAGAGACCCTTGCCTACGTAGCCGGCGAAAGCGGGTTCATGGCCAGAACCGCCTCCTGAAATGACGGCGACTTTGGATTTAGAGGAGGCATCCGGACGACGGTAGATGATCTTGTTCTCCGAGTCGAATGCCAGGGAAGGGTTGGTGAGGGTGAGGGAGTGGAGGGCGGCCTGGACGAGCTTGTTGGGGTCGGAAAAGAAGTGTTTCGCTGTTTTGCCATGGTTGTTAGCATATTTGTCTTTTGTTTACTGTTTTTTCTCTTCCGTCCATTTTGTCCCATTCTTGAATTTTTGAATTTTTCTTTTTCAATACCAACAGAATACACCGGATATGAGGGTCAAAGAAAAAGATATCCAGCTTCAATATAAACTTTGGGGTGAACCTACTCTGCATGGCGAATGAATGTATATAGAAAATGACGTATCGGACTTATGACGTAACGCGGTCCTGCAGTTTCTCTCTCCGAGCGAGGGGTATTCTGTAGGATCTGAGCGGATTCGCTCCAGAAACGGCCGATGGGAAATGACAGGATGACAATGATATATACAAGTCGCGAGCGAGAGAAAGTCCGGGGAGAAAAGGTAAACGGAGAGCTGCGGGCGACCCTGGGGGAAATAGCGTTTGCCGTCGGGCTATCCACCGGACTGGATGGCGGGGAGCGCGAGGTGGGGAACCTGGATCTGGCCTCTGTCAGCGGGGTTGTTGCACGGTTGGCGAATCAGAGCAGCACAGCCCAGGCACAGATGCTGACGCGCAGTTGCAGCAGCGGCTAAATACGTTCCATGCAAGCTTCCAGACCCGCTTTCCTCCGATCCCAAGCTGCCAGCATTGATTTGCGGGATATACAATCATGGTCGGAGCGTAGGACGAGGCAAGTGCGTGCCGGACGTGGGGGCGACCTCAGAGCGTGGGGGTCGCACGAGATGTGTGGGGGGAGACAAGCATGTATTCTCCGTATGGAGGACAAGAGGAGCATTAGGGAACAATATTTGACAATGGCCACCGTTGTAGAAGGAAGTCGCCGTGAACGCTGGATAGGAAGCAGGGAGAAGGTGCGATGCAGGTCCTGGAGAGTGTGGGGATGGCTGAGAATGGAAGGAGCGCCCGACTGCCCGAGCACGTGCTGGCCCCGATTCGAGACCGATAAGGAAGACAACGATAGAAGGACAAAAAGCCAACAACTTACAGTTTACTTGGATGCTGTCACAGATGCGACGAGTTCAGGCTGCTGGCTGAGAAAAAGAAGAAGAGGAGGAATAAGAGGGTAAGAGGGTAAGAGTGTTATTAAGAATTAGGAATTATAGCCAGCCGCACGGGACAAGAGTAAGAGGAGAAAAGGAAGAAGAATCGCCAATTTTATAGGAGTCAAGCAAAGCAATGGTCAAGAACGAGAGAGCGAGCGAGAGAGAAAGAGAGGCAGTAATGGCGCGTTAAATACCTAGCTAGCTGGCTTCTTCCAGCGCATTCAGTCCTCCCGGGCCTTACTCCGTCCGGGAGGATTTTGTTTGATTTGATTTTTTTCTTGCTCACATGAACAGTTTTTCCCTCTATCAATAATCAACCGTCCCCATCCTTACTCCGCAGCTCCGCCCGCTATCTACTACTCCGTACTCCGTAGGAGGAGCTCCTGTTCGAATTTCGATCGAGGCCGGGTCCCGTCCGGAAGTTCTGGACTCGGAACGCCCTCCATTGACCGCTTCGGCTTTCTGTTTTCGGGAATCCCGTCTGCCAGCTGACAGCAACGTGACCCCCTTAGAAACCTACCTCTAGGGGGCATTGCTCTAGTTAACTTCCAGGGGTCCTGCTCGAACGTTCGTTCCGGTCACCATTTGTCGCTAGCTGGCTAGGTTCTCGTTCTACTTTTTTTCTTCTAGTCTGTGATCGTCTTTGGAATCAGATGACTGAGCACTGGCACTACTGTATACTAGCTTGGAATCTCGGCCAGGGTCTCCAGAGGCCCGGGAGCCCGTTTCATTGGTGGGTTCGTGACGCCGATGTATTGAAATCTGACGTTTCTAGAATTACCCCTCTACAACGACATAAACTCTCTTCAAAAGCAGAGGCAAGCAGATTCGATTGTTTTAATGATGAGAGAGCATAGATGAGTAGATTCTAACTGTAGTAACTGCGTATGTGGTCTGTACCCACTGCCCGGCCAAGGACCGGGAATGAAAGCACGTCATCCTGTAATCCTTGCCATTTAACTAATAGCCATTTAACTAATAATCATAAGCGTAGGTGGCGACACCTGGTATTCATGATAACATTGTTCAACCAATATGTCAAAATTTTGAGTGACAATTGGCTAGCATAAACCCAAGGTTAAAAAAAAAGGCCATGAGCGGAATGTCTGTTTTAAACTTAGGTTCCCGTCTCACTACTCCCCCGCTCCTCCGCAGTACGAGGACTTCCAATAAGATATGGCGACTATATACTCCGTACAGAGTAGATTATTGACCGGCGCATTCGTCAACAATTGTTCCAATCAAACAGTGTAGTTGGCTGCAGCAAACAATAAGGTATCTCTAACCATTGAGATGAGATGTATTTTTCCTGTATGGATACTATACTAATATTAATCTGCGTAAGTCTGCTAATAGAGTCCGAGACTCAGAGCATGATTGCGCACAGATAATAATAATAGATGACAGTGTAGTGCATCTCTTCGACTCCCGAAAATAAGAAAAAAAGATTCTAGAACCTACTTAATCTCACACGAGATCTCTGAGACATCGCTTAATCGCCGACGACCGGCAACGAGCACTGGAGTCTGAAGATGTCGGGCATCAACAGGCCTTGACGGAGGAGTTCCCGGTATGAGGGGGAGGGGCCGGAGGGCACGCTGACTGCCGCGGCGCCCAGACCTCCCGGTGCCCCGTGTGCCGGTGCTGGACTCGGATGTGCTCCGATGGGGGGAGAGGAGGGCCTTTCGTCTCGGGTCTCCCGGCCGAGTTCCTTGTTCGTTGTTCGTTTCGTTCCAGCAAAGCATTACTCCGTATTGCGGGGTTGGGAAATATGATGTAGATGTAGTTACATTTGTTAATAATGCTAGTGCCTAAATACATGACAAGCATGTCATTTCTGTCGTGTTTCTATATGTCCTTAACCAAGTCGTGCGTTTATAATCATTGACCGGAAGTATCTCAAGAATCTTCTATGCTAGGTAACTATACCGGTTTCCTTCCTCACGCTCCATGTAATCCTTCTCGATTAGCCTGTACACAGAGTTAGTCAATGCACCGTAAAATAATATCCGACGCGCAGTGAATGAAAAGTGTTGATGGAGAAAGGAATGCGGGTGACTGACTTCTCGATGTTCTTCTTAATCTCCGCTGGCTCAAGAACACCCCGGCTGCGTGTCGCCTTGATCACCTCCGCCACGAGCTCCGCGTGTGTGATGGTCTTGCGAGCCTTCATGATCCGTACAATCGCCGCCTGCGTCTCGTAGTGTCGGTCGGCGGCTACCCGCTCGTGCGTGCTCTTGTTCTCCTCCTTGGTCTCCTTCAGCTGGATCTGGTTGATTTTAATCCGCATCTTTGGGTCTGAAAAGTTCGCGTTGTAGGCAAAGACGTCCGTTTCGTTGACATCCTTGCCCTTGGGCTTCTTCGTAAGGACCCGGTACTTGGCACACGCCAGCGACTGGAGCGTCCTCGTCAACTCGCGATCAGCTATGACCGAGTTAGCATACGATCATCATCAAGCATATCAACCGGGACAAAAAAAAAGGAGCTTACATAGGCCTGTTGCTTCTCTGATCTGGGTATAGCTCAGAGTTTCCCCTTCAGGGACATCGTTGAACAGCAACAATACAATCGCCTGGAAGGAGCTGACCACGATCTCCTTG